TCCCTTGTAAACACATTTTTGCTGTTTTCAACTTCTTTGACGAGTGGAGCTTAAACAGCTTACCGCATTCTTACAAAAATAACGTCTTCATAACTCTGGACACCATGCATTTTGATCAAGCCGATCCAGACGAAGAACCAACTTCGGAACCGAGTTCAACGGACGAGGGAAATTACTATTACGGTCAAGTATGCGGTGCAGAAACAACAGTCCCCGCCTCATCTTCCGATGAAGATGATGCTCCTGCTCAATCCAGTGGCACTTCTTTCCGGCCAAAAATCAACGACAACGAGCAACCTTTAATAACTCAAAAGCTCAGAAAGCGCCTTCAGGAAATAGTCGATGAATTGAGATCAGCAACATTCGTGGTCGATGATTCAGCTATCCTTGAGAATACTATCACGACTGTGGAACTCTGCTAAAGGATCTCCGTCAAAGTTCCTCTATCAAAAATGGCCTTCCTCTTCGACAGAGTCCTGCAAAAAAGAAGCTCAAAGTTACAGAGGTAGACTACCACAAGATGAAACAAAAGACACTTCCGTAATGATGTGTAATGATGCGGATAACGACAAGAATAATGATGAGCTAACTGGCACAATTCACGAGAGTTCTGCTCGTATCCCACCAAGGTATAATTCTATCAAATTTAGTAATACAGAACAGTGATCATAACTCTTCGAATATTCTGTCAATTGAGTAGGGAACGATTTATCAACCTTTTAGACTATTCTTTTGATCTACTGTTGTGGTGTATAAACAGGCCTTCTCAGCTAGGAGAGTCAGAAGTAGAGTTGTGTGACGCAGAGACGAGAGTTAAGACCTTGCAAGTCAACAAGTCTGGTATACGCGATTCCGTACTGGAAGTAGGGCCATTCAAAGTAGCCGTTTCTGACTTGCTAGCCACTCTTCCTCCTAGCACTTTGTCTGCAAAAGAAACACAGAAAATTAAAGAGGAGATCCCTAGTTTTGTGGATGGATGGTTAACTGATACGGTGAGCAGTACTGTTTTCCAGTTTCTATTTGAAAGATTAATTTTGTATATCTTCAGTTGTTATATTCGTTGTGCTTCTCTTTGTAGATCGTTGATGCTACACTGTGGAAACTAACAAAACTCGACCAAAAAATCTTTGCTGCTGACAGTATCCTTTGTCAGTTGGTGAAACATGGGGAAAGTACACGTAGATTGTGGATGGGCGAGAGGTTCCATAGAATTGAAAAAATTGTTATTCCAATGAATATCACTGAACATCACTGGACATTACTAGTAAGTTGAGGATACTATTCATACTGTACATTTTTTTTTTAATGAAATAGTCATCTCTAAAACTTGTATTATATTCTTTAGATAAACTGAACATTGTACACATGACTCAGGACTTCGTTTTGACGACATAAAATAAATGTGTTCAAAGATTTTAGATAACAAGGAATCTATCCGTGTCTACATTGATCCTATTCATGGAAACAAACATCCAAATGAAATAACAGCAGCTTCCAATCCCAGCCTGTACAGACTTATAAATAACATAAGGCGAGTTTCTGTATTCCCAGCACGACCCTGTGTTTCATTGTTGTTAGAGTTATGAATGGCCATTGTACTGGCCACATTGTTTTTATGATTTTTGAGCTATATATATATATATGTGGGGGTAGAGTCTACCTTGGCATAAAGTGCTTAATGCTGTGGTAGCAGAGCTGAGTATATATAAGTGAAAGAATCAAAGAGGACGCATCGATTCTCTGTTACTCTGAGTTTCGCGCCTTAGCGCTCGTCAGACAGAGCTTTATTCAATGAAGAACATACCTCCATATATACAAATTAGATAATTAGCTCATTAATTCACTAGTGTGATGATTAGCTTTTCAAATAACTGTTTCTTGGCGGTATCGGTATGTTCTTGATTGAATAATCGAATCGGACTTGATCCATCTTTGGGTGTTGCGGTCAGACTACAGTGCTCAACTAGGCGTTTTAGGAGCGTTGTATAAATGTGGGGGTAGAGTCTACCTTGGCATAAAGTGCCAATGCTGTGGTAGCAGAGCTGAGTATATATAAGTGAAAGAATCAAAGAGGACGCATCGATTCTCAGTTACTCTGAGTTTCGCGCCTAAGCACTCGTCAGACAGAACTTTATTCATTGAAGAACATACCTCCTTATATACAAATTAGATAATTAGCTAATTAATTCACTAGTGTGATGACAAGCTTTGCGCTAATTTTTTTAGCTAATTATCTAACTGCATTTCGAGTATTACATGTTTGTCACAGGTTTGTGTATAAACACTTTCTTTTCTTATTTCAAAAGGAATTCCCAGTATCTAAGAGTTATGTGGTGGGGGACAGAGGGATGGGAACCCATGAGAATAGAGGATGGGAGGTGTACTGGAGGCAAGAGGGGCAGGAACTGGCTAAAATATTTAGCAAAATTGCATAAACTTTTGCAATGAAAATAAAACAGAGGCAAGAGCCATTAAATGAGGGTATGGGAATCGGGATGTTCAGACCCCTCTCTCCAACCCCCCTCCCTGCAGTAATTTGAAATCCAAGTTTTCCCAGCTCATACGATCACACTTGAGTCTCCCCTTCACCAACTCAAACTGTTATTGTGAAGGACCTGCTCTTCACTATGACTAATTATTAATATGAAACCATTACATTTCCTTCTGCAATAAGCCAAGACTACCATATTGGCCAGCTTCTAAAAGCTGCATATTTTTTACGATAATAAAGCTTACCTGTTCTTAATTTTAACTGATGTCAACTACTAAGTTTTCAATGGGCCAGTAGACTGTTAAACAGACGAACCTATCCCGGATCTTAACGGCAAAGTATATATGGCCAGCCCTTCGTCGGAGCGATGGACGAAGGGTTAACGCTCGAAACGTCAGCTTTTTTACCCTTTACGGTGGCTAATTTACGTTTTCAACTCAGTTGTTAACACTAAATTACCTGCATATCTTCTTTCGTTCAGTTCTATGAGCACTTTTGATGCATATTTTGATCCTCATCTGTGAAAGATCGTCCATGTTTAGTCATTAGTTGTTATAACATAGCTAGTAAATTTGTTTAATCAAATTCAATTGTGAGAGCGTGCTTCATATTCTTATTGTGCACGCCTATGACGTTAGCAAACAAATCCCTCGAGAAAAAAAAATTTTCCACCGGGTTGAAAATGTTATAAAACAATTGTTTCATACGTCAGCTGTGCGTTCATCGAGATATGAAGCACTTTGGAAGTTTGGAAAGCACTCAAGTATGGAAGCCGTCATGGTGCAAAATTCAACAAATTAAATTGCTGCCAACATCAATATTTACTATTAAGGTCAACGATAAAATTTGTCCAACTTCGACAGCAAATATCAATATCAACACTCCAAACACACTAAATCAAACAACTAAAGTAACTCAATATCAACACAAACTCTCCTAGTCTGCAGCCCTTGAGAATCACGTCAAAATCGACGCGGTATAAAGCTTCAAGTTCAACAACAAAACACGTTCAATAATTTGGATACGAGCGACTGGAAATGGCCGAGAGTTCTCAGGAACAAGTTACAAGTTTAGACAACATCTACGAGAGTAAAGCAGAGGGAAGCAGAGGGAAAGCAGAGGGCATTTTGTTGCGCATGTTCTGTAAATTTTGGTTTGATGCGAGAAACCGCTGGTATGCGCCTGCGTCGGTTTTCCGATCAGAATCGCGAAAGAAAAAAAGCAGTAAAATAACAACGGATCGAGTATTTGAGACAACTTTCCCTCTGTAACTTAGATGGAAGCGGCAAAGTCTTAAAGTTGTTGTGTGGTGTGTGGAAGGAAGTTATTTTCAAAAAGCAAAGGATTGTACAAACGACTTCGAGTCTTGTCTTGCAATTGTTTGGGCAATCGATGTAGATGATGTTATTTGTGAAGGATGCAAGTGGCCTGTCGAAGAGCACTAATAAACTGAATGGTATACTTTTATCGTGTCATTGCTATCTCAAGTTATCATTGATCATTTGAAGTACTCACTTTCCTATGAGCGTTTTTTAGAGCTCCAACTTTACTGCTATTGCAATGTACTTCAATTAGAGTGAAAAATTAAAGTTTACCAAAGTTTATGTTTTGTTTCACAAGTTTTTTTTTTTTGACATGAATCACAACTGGCGGGGCCAGTTACCAAAACAAAAAAAGGTCAATTTCAAATAAAGAAAAGTGAGACAACGTTAGTACTTGAGATACGGTAGCCTTAGATCAAAGAGCTTGTCAGAAATGGATGAGTAATTGTGGATTTTAACGGAGTAGGGAAAATTCTTTTCAATCATTAGTCTTGGAAATATCATCAGATATGATCAATGATGTGGAGAAATTGTGAATTAAAACAAGTACTAGTTTGGGCATCCAGTTGTTATATGAATAGTTAAGTAAATCAATTATTTCCCAATAAAAATCATATTCACTTATCATTTAGCTGAACAACAAAATCATAAACTCTCTTTCCAACCTTATTCACCAACCTATTGAATTCCAAGAGTTATGTGACAATTCAATGGTCTGTAAAGACTCTTATTACATGCCAAACAACAAAGAAACAGGACTGATATTTAACAATGAGGATAAAAATCAAAATACTTCCAAGAGCCTTTTTTTCCTGGGAACAGGACTAAATAAGGTCAGATTAAACTAATGTGGAGAGGTTTGTTGATCTCTTTATCAAAATGGATGATTTACATCTATCAGATTTTAGAGAAATGAGACTTAAGTCAAGAGGGGACTTCGGCATTGCATATTCTGCAGTAATGGGCATTGGCTTGAATGCCTATTTGAAGAAATTTATATTTTCTGGCCAGAGGTTTGGCTGTCCCAATTTTAAGGCAGACAAATCATACATCAGTCACTTAAGAAATATTATAGCTCTCACTGGAAACTCAGCACTCTTAAGGAACATGACAATATTGAACCTGATCACTCCTTATATTCTTTTCCAATAAAATTAGGACAAAACTTTCAAAAACTTTATTGGTAATTTTACAGTTGCAAATAAGGTTTAGACACAAGTTACATATAGCATAAGCTAGTTGAGACAAGTTGCAAGAAGAGAACAAAAGATCAATCATTTATATCAGTAGTAAGTGTCTGGTAGTAATTACATTCTCTTGAATACCAGCTAGGCTCAGTAAATGTCACACCTATCCATTCTATCAATAGTACCAACTATATATAGTGGGGTCACATCACATCTCCCTAAACAGCAGAGAACACAAAAGTTAATCCCTCTCATCATTCTCAATTAAGAAATAAAAATTGAAAGATCATGACATTTCTGGAAAAGTAAAATGCAAGTCAAAGTGGTTTGAAGACATTTTAACATGAAATTCGTTTTTAAATATGACAGAAATACTGTAGTTAACTTCTAAAGAAACAAGGAGTTCCAGCCCCTTGAGTAATTATCCATTTGTTGCATCACTCGTCTCATATTTTAAGAACCACTGAAAATTTGATAATTTTAATCTTTAATTTTTAATTATAGTACTCTTCGACGCGAAATTAATTTCTTGTGGCAGAAGTATACTACTGAAATAAACAAGACAGAATGAAGCTGACGTCATTCGTTTCGAATAACATATGAACATGATGAAAACGGCACCAGTTTAAACTCATGAGACAAAGCCCGCTTTTTTTTTTAGGCAAATGAACTGGTTCGACCGAAAGCTAAATAAATAAACAACGAACTGACAGTGGTGAGAGATTTGGGGCCCATGTGATTACAAAGTTCTACAGAAGTTTATCCTCTAGTCAGCACTTCAAGCTCAAAAAAGCAATTAGGAAAATTCTCACCAAAACACAGCAACAAAATATGATAAAACCGGAGAAGATTGAGGCAAGACTATAACCGTTGTTAAGACACATGCCTACATACCATGTACAACAGACTTGGAGAGAAAAAAGGCCAAAGACAGTTGTGAGCCATGACTTGGAAAATCCATCTCAACCTCCCAAAAACGAATTCGCCAAAGGTCGTGGTAAGAGTGACTCAATCCTGAAGCTGAAACAATTTTTAAAGTCTTGTGTTCTATGTGACTGCAAAGAGAAAGTAAAGACGACGTTATTTGAAGTGATTTGAAGCTTGGGGGCCACCTCGAACTTCACGCAATTTATTTCAAAGTTGAAGTAAAATAAGATCAAATTCTAAACTACCTTCCATTATCGTAACGAATATCTCAAAATAGTATCCACATACAATATCTTAAGAGTAACCTTCAAGGTTTGTTGTCTCATGTACACATCTTGATCGTCAGTAAATAAATGTATGCGCAGACGAAATACCCCTCTGCTCGAGAGTGGTACTTTCGCTAAATATGGCTACTGCTGGAAGCGGATAAAACATAGGGCCCAAGATCCCTCGGCCATTTCCAGTTGCTCGTACCCAAATTGTTGAACTTGCTTTGTTGTTGAACTTAAGTTTTATACCGTGTTGGTTCTGACGTGGCTGTGGGGTTGCAGACTAGGAGAATTTATGTTGATGGTGAGTTACTTTGATTGTTGGATTTAGTGTGTTTGGAGTGTTTATATTGATATTGGCTGTTGAAGTTGGTCAAATTTTATCGTCAACCTTAATAATAAATGTTGATGTTGGCAGCAATTTGATCGGTTGAATTTTGCACCATTACGGCTTCCATGCTCAAGAGTTGCTCTCGGCTACGCCTCGAGCAACTCTTACGCATCTTTCATGCTCTTCAAACTTCCCGCGTGCTTCATATCTCGATGAAGCTGGGAAGGAAAATGCCAGTTACTCAAGGCATCGAAACACGAGTTTCATTGAGCGAGTAACGAAACAAATACTAATATGCTTCTCAATTCATTCACTGCAATCAGCGCTCCCTTAAATGTTTACGTCGCGCAATGTAAACAATTTGGTGTTTGCATCGCAGGTGATGATTTCTTCGAAACTTCAAACCTACCTCGATCATCTTCGGTTAGAATCAGAAGGAGAATATAGTTTTTAAGAAAGTGAATGGTGTTCTATTCATTCGTCGCAATCGGCGCCCGCTTCAGTGTTTACGCACCGGAATGTAAACAGTTTCATTGCACGCGCCGGCGAGTGTTAAACAAACTTGAACTACATGTATCCTGCAGTTAATTTTTCCGTTCCATTTTTTCGAGCAATTTGGTAAACATTGATAGATGATTCCACAAATATCGAACAAAAAGCGAATCCGGTTTCTCACAAAAAATTCTTCATACGAGTCAGAGCAAGACGTAGTCGTGACAGGTAATCAAACTGTAACGCAACACCATTAAAATAAGCGAGTAGCACTTACTAGCTTTTGTATAAATGGCGAGATGAATGAGCCAGTTTTTGAGAAAAGCATGTTTACCGATGACTAAAGCTATGAAATAAGCATTAGTGCGTGGGTTTGCATTCAGAACGCGACAACTGGTTACAAACGGGCGCCCTGGCTGATTCTACCGAATTACAATATACAGAGAATAAATTTATTTTAAACAAATTCCCAAGCCGTGGCGACGGATGTTTCTATATACGAAGTGAGAAATAGCTATTTTGATGAATGAATTCCGTTGGAAAATGATAAATCATTTATATGTACCGATTACGAGCAATTAATAGCATTTTGGGAAGGTCGGTTCGAACGGCGATTGCAACGAACAAGTTTGCTTGTCGTTGGTAGCCGCGTAGTATTTTAGTGCTATTGCATCGTAGCCTATTCCTTAAAACAACTGATAAACCGCCAACAATAGAAAAACAGAAAAACTAAGTTGAAGTGTAAAAAAGAATAAGTTCCTTTTCGAAACTCAAATTTCAAATTTAAATTACTGCGCTTGTTTACTAAGTGCCCAAACATAGAGTTTAATACTTCCTCCCTCTGAGTTTCACGTCCTTCCTATCGTGAAACCACCAACAAATTTAAGCCTAAGTTTGATTTTTCTCGGTAGTAGGGGCGGCCGCTTTTGGAATATCGATGACTGTAGACTTATTTTACTATAACTAACAGTAATGTCACGATCTGATTGGCCAATTTGCTGTTGTGGATGAAAGTAAAGACAACGCTGCATACGTCAACTTGTCACGCAATGGTCACACACTAAAAGAATCGTTTTATTTGACGTCGCTATTGTGGCCACTGTGATAACGATTACAGTTGTTGATTAGAGAACAGGCCATGCTGAACCACTGCCGAGTTGTTAAAATATTGAAAAAGATTTTTTTCATCTCCCCTAAATCACTTATTTTGCAGAATACTTTGCAGTGAGACATTTTTCATCGTAATAATTGTATTTAGAGGATTGCAGAACATCTCTTTTTGATGTGAAAATGTAATGATTCCTGAAAAAAGTCAAGTTGTTTCGATATGATTGTCCAACGGTTAACTCATGGCAAAGTGAATGGTTGACGACATTAACACTTCGACAGTGATTGAAAAGGGCCCTCTACAGAGACACCAGAAAAGAGGGAAGTGTTGGCCTTCATACATAATTATGATCATTTTTTTGTTGTTAGAAAATTGTAAATTATATCCTAGATTTTCAGTACACACGTTTAGCAAGAGCTAACAAATTTGAATATAGAGTACTTCATATTCAGCATATCATTTGAGTTGAAGTCAAAGTTTAATATCTGCAACTTTATATTAGGAGGTATTTCTCCTAATGTTTGTAATTTTCAAATTATGAGTGCTTTGCCAGAAAGCAGGCACCCACCTGCTCTCCTTCCAGCCCTCATGCCTATTAATGTGTATGGATTTCCACACTTGTTTGTATTTGGTTGGAAGTAATGCTCTGTACTTTCGTCCATGCAATAGCTCTGCAGGTGACGGTATGCTGATAGTAAGGGGTGTGGCTCTGTAGATCAACATAGCTAAGTTTGGATCATGTCCTGCGGCCGCACATATGCATTTCCTCATACACTGCTTGACCGTCTGCACCATACGTTCGATGAAACCATTACTCTGCGGGTAACGAGGGCTAGACGTGATGTGGTCAAAGCGGTATTTGTTTGCAAAGGCTGCAAATTACTTCGACGAGAATGGGGGGCTGTTGCCTGTCATAACGGTTTGAGGCACTCCATATTCGCTAAACACTTGCTTCAGAATCTCGGTGGTAGCGCTCGCGTTGGTGCTGCGTACTTTCCGGATCACTGGAAACCTACTCTAGTAGTCTGCTATCAGGAGGTAGGTAATAGACTGAAACTCGAAGAAATCAATTTCTAACTTCTCCCAAGGTCCTTGAGGAACTTCATGGGGCAACAGTGTCTCGCGTTGTTGGCTCCTCGAGAACGTCTGGCGCACTTCACAACCCTGTGCTGCCTGTAGTAAATCTGACGTTATTCCTGGCCAGAATACTGCTTCTCGAGCTCTTAGTTGCATCTTCTCAAAACCAAAATGACCCTCGTGGATAGTTTGGAGGACTCTGCTACGCAATTTCTCAGGAACTATGAGTCGATGGCCTTTGAAGAGTAGACCATTCTCTGCGCTGATCTCTTCTCTGTAGCTCCAGTAGTCTACAAGAAGTGGGTGGCAATCTTTCTTTAATTCAGGCCATCCATTTGCTACCACTTGCATCAGTAAGCTGGAAATAGTGTCTTCTGCAGTTGCGCGTCTGAAATCTCCAACTCTCGTAGAATCGGCGGGGATTTCCTCTGTGAGCATGTGAACTGGGGTAAAATCTTCCTCGTCTTCTCCTTCTTTAGGTGTTGGCTGAGGAGACACTCTGGACAGTGCGTCAGCTACGACGACGAGTGTTTTGATAGACCTATCTGTTTTAGCTTGGACAGCAGGTTTCTGGATTTCAGGGAAATTGACGTATTCCATGATTAACGTCAGCTACGATATTATCCTTCCCTTTCAGATATTCAATGTTTACGTCATACTGGGATAGTCTCAGCAATAGCCTCTGAAGGCGTGGTGAGTTGCACACTATGGATTTCTTTCACACGCTGACCAATGGCTTGTGATCTGTTTGAACCGTCGCTATGTATCCATACACATAATGATGAAATCTTTCAAGAGCAAAACAACACTGAGCAGCTCTCGTTCAATGTTATAGTAAGATTGTTCCGTCTCAGTGAGGGCTCTTGATGTATAGACAGGCTTATCATCTTGGATAAGAACTGCTCCTAAGCCTTTCTTGGATGCGTCTGACTGAATAGTGCTAGCTTTAGACCGATCAAAATATGCCAACACTGGTGCACTTGTAATCTCTTACTAGATAGCCTCAAATGCTGTTTGTTGTGAGCTTTCCCAGGTAAAGAGAGTGTAAAGAGAGTGCCCTTCTTACAGAGCGTTCTAAGCGGTGCTTTTAAATCTGCCAGTGCTGGACTGAACCGGTTTAGGTAGTTCACCAGTCTTAGGAAACTTTGCAGATCTTGGAGGTTCTCTGGTGGTTTCATCTCTGTGATGCCTTGCACCTTTTTGGGGTCCATCCTATACCCGGCCAGGGTATAGGTAATTGAAGAAATTGACGTATTCCATGATTAACGCCTGCTTTCTGCCTAGGATCATATGACCTTTGCTGTCTGCGACTTCGCACAAAACTCTGAATATCTTGTTACCATGGTAAAGGTACACAATGCAGGAACCAAGGTTTTCCACTGGACTGTCGTTATAGCCTTTGAGGTTCACGGTTGGTTTGCCCAACTTCAAGTCGTTTCCGAAGAGTGCTTTAGCCTTGTAAAACGGCAGAATGTTACAACTTGCTCCGGTATCAACCTCGCAGTCAATCTGGAAGATTTGTGATGAAGATTCCTGGCTGAACCATAGCGGGCGGATGTGAGGTTCTGATTTTGGATGATTAAGACTTTCCACTGTTACTGTATTGAGGTGATGAATAGGTGCGTTGAAGTAAACTGGCTCGTATTCATTCAGTACGCAGTCCACGCACTCAGAAGCTGTTGTAGACTGGACATGTAACTCATTAACACGTGCATCTTTACTCTTTGATTTGCACACGGAAACGTAATGCCCTTCCTTCCCACACTTAAAGCACTTTTCCCTCTTTGCCGGACACTCACTTTTGGGATGTGACGGTTTCGCTCCACAGTAGAAACAAGTTTCCCTCTTTGACCTTCCTTGTTTCTGATCATTGGAAGCTGGTCTTTGTGGCTGCTGTCTTTTCCGGCTGGCTCTTGATTGCCTGTTTCCTTGGAGTTTATGAACTTCCATTTGTAGTGGTTCGCCTTTGAATTCCGGTCGTATGTTACCGACTTTGTGTGCTGTGGCGTCCTGATTCTGAGCGATTTCTATTGCCTCTTCTAGCGTCAATTCTGAACCTTATTCAATGCATTTGTAATAGGCCTCTTTGAAGCGTAGTCCAATAACTATTGCATCCCGAAGTAGTCGATCGCGTGCTTCTGAAGGATATTCACACTGGTCGTACAGAATAGAGGCTTTGTCAATGTACTCTGCAAGGCTAAAATCACCTTGCTCCAGGCGGCGGAAGTTTGATGCGGCTGCAAGTGCATTGGATTTCGGCTTTGCCCACTGCACGAACTTTTTTAACAGCAGGCTCGGATCTCCCTTCTCTTCCGTGGTGAGATTCAGTGACTTAATTTGAGTTCTTCCAGCTTTTCCTGCTCAAATGAGAACATGGTTTGCTTTCACAGCTTTGCTCTTCGGAGCTAGCGGACCATTCAAAAGAAGTTCGCATTCCTCAACCCAATCCAAGCACTTTTGGTAACATTCGGGGCCCGGCGTGAAGTTTCCTTTCGGCGCTGGTAAATGCTCCGATGCAGCCATTGTAGATTGAGAGGGTTGATGTTTTCGAAGAGCTGGCAGTGATCGCTTTCGACGTTAGTCTTGACTGGGTTTGTTAAATCCTGACACCATGTTAACTACTCGGTTCTGCAAAAGTTTTTTATTCATACACACACTAATCAAAGTAATAATCCTATGTAGAACTAAACTCACGAGTTTATATATTTGGTAGCATTTCTGCATATATTACGGTTGGGACAATATACACTTATTAACAAGTATTTATATTGCGACAAAACGTGACAAGACGTGAATGGCGGAATGAATAGGATTAATGATAGCTCAAATGAATTGCTGATTATGCAACAGGTATGGCGCTAGCAGATTCAGTCAAGTAGCTGGCTTGGTGGAGCTTTACTGGGACAGCTGATGTCGTAAAGGATCGCAGTCCATACCAGGGGCCTAGCCCCTGGGGAAAGGGGGGAGTCAACATGTGTGAAACCTAGGGTACTCACCAGATTGTCATGTCAACCTCCAAGGCGTGTTTTACTTAATGTGATAAAAAGAGACCTAAAAAGGGGGGGTCACGGGCACTCCATCTCCCCCTCTCCCCCTCCCCCTGCTAGCTACACCCTTGTATGCGGTTCCCAGGAAGTGGAAAGCAACTCGCTTTTGGGGTTTCCAGGTTTCACGATAACCGCCTAGAAACGAGTCCAAGTGGGAGAGTTTTTTTTCAGCATTCTTTTGTCTAAGATAGTGCTTAATTTTCCATGTTGATTGAAAGTATTCATTTTCATTTGCTTTCCGTTTCTCTTTGAGCGACTGATCAGTTTGTAATCAGTTCTTGGCAAACTTTAAAATATTAGCATATTTGCTGTTGTTCCATATTGCAACTAAATTGAGTTTTTATCGTTTCATTTTGTGTAAGTACGTAAGCCTTTCAGCTTCACTCTAAATAATATCAGGTGGGCTTGGTGGTGAGTCTTTCCAAGCAATTTTAAGAGTATCAGGGTCCAGCAGATAAAGGTGCTAACCCGGCTTCTAAAATCTATTTCTATTGATTCGATTGAGGATTGAAGTGGGTTCAAGTCCTAATATTCTTCTTGTGTTTCTTTCAGTTCTAAACCTACGGAAACCGTGGCATGACAATTTTCAACAAGAATAGCTTTCATTAGATTACTTGCAGGAACGTTTTCGGACCTTTAAAAATTTTTGAAAATTTTACCGTCCACTCATCCGCTGACTTGGTTAGCACTTCCCATAAATGAGCCCACAGTACAGTGTGATGATCCCAGAGTGCAATACGCTCGTGGTATCTGCGAAACGTCATGCGTACAGAACTTGATCTGCACCCTGTTCTAACTGTGGTAGAACATCAATGAACATTGTACGCATCGTCGAATTTGTCCATTCAGTTTCCAAGTGGATGCTTTATCTGGTTATGGAGCCCGAAAGAAATTACTTCATTGCTTAGATATTTAAATTTTTTAACTTGATCGGCTGAAGTATAAAAAACTTTTTTTTTTTCTAAGCAGCTTAGAAAACTATCCAAGAGTTATCACAGGGTAGCATTTCACTCTATTTGCTTTGGAAGACATTTATGAAGCAAAGGAATTGGTAAGTCACCCCTCCTAATTGGTACTATTGTGATTGAGGGCTGATCGTGATATTTTTCATTGTTTGAAGAGCATCAATGGATTATCTGATTCAGTAATAACTCGATATTCTTTAATAACCGTTCCTTTTATTAATGACTACAGAAGCCCAAAACCCGGAAGTACTTTTATTAATAGTCTGTCTTTGAAAAGAGTAAATTACAACACAATTTACGCTTTGTTATTCAGCTTAATTCTTTCTGTTAGCTTAAAGAAAAATAAAGTTTTATACAGTGAAAAATTTAAATAAGAAACCCAATAATCACAAAGAGTCATAAGTACATTCTTAGGGTGATATGACCTAGCAACTCTGATAATAGGACTGCAGTTCTTTTCTTTTGTAACCTTTTTGCTGATTGATTCCTAGATAAAAGTTTAAAATTACTAGGTATGCTTTGTTGCCACCACAAAGTTTAAATGTTCCTCCTTTGTGTTGTCCATTTAAGTTGCTTTTAAAAACCTGGATTTCCTCTTTTTTCAGCGATTACTAAGATTAAGGATATGGCAAGATATTTGTTTCCGAAGCTATACATTAAACCAGACCTCACTTTCAGATGCCAGGTTTGATCCTTATAATTTTAATTATCCTTTTAATTATCACCATTAAACCTTTTATTATTGTTATTGTTCTTGATATTATTATATCTCTCCTCATGAATCAAATATCTGCTCTATAACTTGGCTTTAAAGCATTTGGTTTATTATCTGTTAGATATTTCTATAATGATTAAACTGTGGTTGACTTACCATAAAGTAAAGTACTTTGTGCAGTTATAATCACATGATTCCAATCGGAGTGACGTATAAATATGCACATGGAATTTCTCCAAAGACCAAAAAAACTTCACAAACCCATAGGGCGAGTGCAATTTTTTGTCTGAAATTTACCAGTTCTCATAAACTTATTCCAAATATCACAGGAAAACTCATGTGATTACTTATTAATAACTGCATACATTGAAAATTGCTGAGCCACCTTATGAAAGTAGCACAGAGGCAAAGCTCTCAAATCATGTGCAAAGCTCAAAATAATATCCAGCCGGTGCTGGTCAAGTTGTTCAGTCAAACCTATTATTGCTTGAACGCCAAGTTTTGGCCAGATAAATGTCCATTATGTCACATCTTGATAAATCCTCATCTTCCCCTCCCCCAGTATATTTCCAGGCATTTTCACTCCTCTGTTATTATTTCACCGTTCACTGTTAATTTTTTGCTCCACCTTTCTTATGTTCTTTTCTGGTAATATCCACTTTTCCCTACATCTAGGCAGTTCGGTAATCATGGACCTATTATAATTGTAATCTGATAAACTTGAAGATTCCTCCAAAAAGATTTATGCAATATTGAGTAATTTAGATGTATTTATCTCAAAGTTTCTAGGAACTGAAGACGTCATGATATCAGATGATGATGTCATGTATGCTGAAGCTTTAAAGAAATATACGGTAATACACTCCTGACATGTGAAACTGATTAGCTCTTTGATTGGTATCTGACCAACTCACCCACGGACAAACTCACTCATGCCAACTTTCTCATACATAAAATCACTTCAATAGGCTCGTTTCAGATTTAGACTTGCTTAAGTTTATTTTGGATGTTTTATGTAATAATAAGATAAAAATTGAAGTTTTAACAACGTTTAGTTGACTGTAGACTGTTGCAGTACAAACCGAAGTGATTGACAGTAGGTAGCTTGCCATCACATACACACATTTAGACGTTATGGAAGATTTCCAACATTGGGACACTTTTTACATTACAGAATTGTGTATTTCTTCCACAGGAAAGTTTTTATTGTATTTAAATGTTACACTTTCATGTTGTTTTGCATTTTTTGTTATATCTTTAGCTAAAGAATCAAAGCAATTATTTGGGGATTTAGATCTCAGTGTTTGTGTGTAATGGTATGCCAGTTGCCAAACACTTTGGTTTGTCTATATCTGTGCATTTTATTCAATAAATGGATCTTCGCAATAATAAACACTATTTTGAAGACAATAGAAAAGTAATTTTAAGTGTTAGGCGGGGTAGGATGGGAAAGTTAGTTCGTGGGCAAATTGACTGTTAATTTCATTCAGATTTTTTAAGCTAATTGAATTATTGGGCTAGACTGTAACATGAATTGAATTAAAATTAGTTCTTGAATCAGACTTAAGATCTAATTATTTACAGTCAGCAGGTGATTACATGTTGGATCCAAAAGCTGTTACAATACCTTAACATATTATTTAATACAAGCTAAATTGCTTAAAATGATTTCATAATTAATTCTTTGATGGGTCAGTGTTTCATCACTTTTTTACTTCAAATTCCTTAAAAAATAGCATCACACACATTGCCCATCAATTTTCTCTTAGTAATTAATGACAATGCAACAGAAAAAATACAGCATGTAAGAGACGTGCCTAACTTTACGTTTATGTGCCTGCTAGTTTTAAGAAAAGAATGATAACACCAATTTTTTAATATTTAATTGCAATAAGCATATCAAGTTACCTTTAAGCTCCCTGTACATCTTGCTGTTTTGTTAATATTTAACAGTTAGTCACCGAAGATGGAGAGAGTATTGTTGTATAATATTCACTGAGCTTAAGGGATAATTGTTGTAGTATAATTGCTCATAGGTACTTTTGAATCCTGCTGTAAATATTTGGTTTGATGTTGAAACCATTTTTGTTTTCAATTATTTTAAGTACTCATATTAAGATAAAGAGCCAGTTTCCACTAGACTTTAAAAGGTTCATTAAATTCAAATTTACTTCAAACTTAATTTGGAATTGAATTTTCTTTATCATGTTCATCACTTCCTCTGTAACACTGACAAAACCCGAGGCAGTCAGTTTGAAATTTAGCGCTCCTCTATAATCACCTGGAGCAATTAGGCTAAATACATGTAGTAACCCTTTGACCCCTAAGAGTGACAAGCATCTAATTTCTGTGGACAATATCACCCCTGAATCAAATGTTAAAGCCACAAGAAAAGAAGGAAATTATCACAAACTTAAGAAGCTCCTGATTGTTAAACAATTTCTCCTCATCAGCACCTTGTCTGAACAGTGTGAAGAATATGCTTACTGATGCTAGGGTATAAAGGGTTAATTATGTTAAGTGTGTGTGAGGCAAAATCACAAAACTCAAAACTGAATTGAAACTGAAGTTTTAAAACAATCTGTGAAGTATGTAAAGAGCCACCTTAATATATATTGCATTATTGCAGAATTAAGGTGGCACTGAAACTACAACACACCTTTATTTTGAACTTTGCAAAATAATCAAAGTTATGTTAATTGTGGAAACACATTGGGGGCTCACACATACATGGGTTTATGTACCTGTTACATTTATGCCTGGGAGCAGAATATGTGGTTCATTTATCACATGCATGAATATAAATTTGGCAAGAGCTGCAAACGTTTTACACTCAAAACTCAATTGTAACTGACGTTTTAAAACTATATGTGAAGTATGTAAAGAGCCACCTTAAATATATTGCATTATTGCAGAATTAAGGTTGCACTGAAACTACAACACACCTTTATTTTGAACTTTTCAAAATAATCAAAGTTATGTTAATTGTGAAAAAACATTGGGGGCTCACACACGTGGGTTTATGTACCTGTTACATTTATGTCTGGGAGCAGAATATGTGGTTCATTTATCACATGCATGAATATAAATTTGGCAAGAGCTACACACTTTTCATGCATAAATTAATTTGAGAATGCTAAATGTTGATGTAAATTGAAATTCATCCTTGTAGGCACAGACGAGAAGTGTTTTGGCAGGATACTTGAAGACATATTGTGAATTATGTATTGGCAGAACTTATGTCTGGATAGAGGAAGAGAAAACTGGAGTAAGAGAACTGAGTTTAGCATTTGTTTATCATGCTATTGTATAGTTTTTATCCAGAAAATTTAAACCAGTTCTGAAATTCAATCCCAATTATTTACAGTCTATCAACTTTGTCTGAATTTGTGCTGCAAACTTGCTTGTTTGAATTATTGCACACAAAGCTCAGAAGATCATATTTAAGTTGTCTATGGAGTTGTCCTCTTGGGCATCTTACAAATCATCTTTTAAGTGTGTTTTAAGTTTTTCTTTGGTTATATTTTTGTAGGTTAGAGAGAACATACATCGCATCAGGGAAATACCATTCATTACTCAAGATCCAGATGACAAAACAGTATTTGGCTTTGTGTCCAGTCACCATATTTACGAAAATATTTATGAGCTTTATGCTTTTAAGTCCCAAGAAGTAAGTGGAACCAAAGAAGCCTTGTGCTAATTTAGCTGAATTATTAGGAATTAGTATAGCCTCCTTATTTATGAACGAGTTTGGTACTGAGGTCGAGAATAACTTTTACGGGAAAAAAAGCAAAATATCTCCTTTTCACCGTAGCGGTGAAAAAAAGGCTGTCGACCGACCAGAATTCGTTCAGACACTGTAACTTTAGAAGGAAAGATAATATTTTGTGACGTCATTAAATTTGAAACCCAAAAATTTATCTTCCTTTGCTAAAGTGCTATCGAAGGAAAGGTATTCCGTGTGATATCCAAACCAGACAGATATATTTCTTAGTTGTACATTTCTCTTTGATGATTGAGGATTACAAGAGTAAAATATTACAAACGTATTGGCCATGTTTGAAAATGAAGTTACAAACCAGTTTTTTTTAGTAGTTAATTTTACCCCTTGTCTTAGAGGTAAAATTCTTGTCTTCAGACAAACACTCTTCATTTACAGTACAGATTACAACTTTAAGACTCGCAAATGCTTATCTCGATGAGTTACGAGCTTTTGATATATTGCATAACGTTTTTGCTCTTTAGGCAGAGGTTATCATTAAAACCTTGAGGGAATGTATCGGACCTGCGACTAATATCATGACAGAGGCGGCCGGATCATTAAATGGTATATACTACTGAGCCAAAGTGCCCCGTGTATATTATTTAATAGGTAGTCAGGTTAGTTTTGTACTGAAGAAATTACCTATTGTTTTTGTCGTCGCTATGCATGTAAATTCAAAATGCATTTTAGATACATTTGATCTTCTTCAGTTCAAGAACACTGACTTGGCTTTTGCACACGCACCTCTTCGTTATCGACTTGCTCTTGCGCACGATTGTCATTAGTCACGATTAGTTACCATCACCATGACAATATTCATCACTGATGTTTTTTGTCCATCTTATCAATCTAAACCATAATCCTTTACATGATGAGTACAGCAAAGGTTTCTTAACACTTAGGTGCTCTTTAAGAGACGTGTGTTTAAAGTTCAAGATAATTCGTGTTCAGTCCAACATCGCCGCCCAGCGGGCTATGAAGCGCTTGTGTGAGTCCAATTTGTTTCACTTGAGAACTTCGAAAAGTAGTGAGAGGCATTTGAGAGCGCTCTTTTGAAGGGGTGACATTTTTCCCATCCTTCTATTTTTTAACGATTTTCAATCGACAAATTTCGAGTGCACGTGAATTTTATAAGTGACATGACCAATAACATCCTGTGGCTATTAAGAGCGGTCTAAGTACACAAAGATACAAATCCAGTTGGATGTTGCTGCAAGCACCACTGAGTTCACTCACTCAAACGACGAGTGATAATGGATAACAGCTGAGCTTGATTTACTTTTAGACGGAAAGAATGATAAAATGACAGGTAGCAATTTTTATGCTCTTGTAGTTGGATCTATGGTAGAGGTTCCTTGCTGAATGGTATTCAAATATATGGTTTTACTCGCTGGATGGGAAATATGCCACAAGTGAAGGAAAAGGATAAACTCAAGTGATCCCTATCCTCCACTTCTGCCTTGGTCTTTGTGCACGACATCTTGCTCCATAGTTTTATTTTAGAGATTTTTTAAAACTTCAAATGTTGTAACATTCTAAATGAAATTGGAATATTTTATAGAAGACCAAAAAAATACATAATTTGCGTTTTTGGTTAACTAAACGAGAAACATCAAAATTCAAGAGTACCTATGTCGAGTTATAGCAAACGTCGCAGCCTGGCTGAGGTTCTTCAAGCACTTTCGATGACTGTAACATTTTCAAGACATGTTCCGATCATGGGCTCACAAGAATTCATCTAGTGAACAAAAATATGCTTTCCAATACCGGCCTGTGACAGTTTCTAAAGTTTACAATAAGTTTAAGGTTTCTCATCTTGTGAACATACCAGCGACTGACGGAGAAAGAGGAGCAAGAAGGAATTGGTCACAGGCTAGTGAGAAAGGTGATGGTTCAGGTGACACATATGCTAGCAGAAGTGCAGGAGAAAGGGTTGAGAGAGACCAAGATACATTTGGCTAAGATGAATCAGCAGCTGATAAACCTGTGGGGACATATGCAAGAGAGACATGATCAACTGAGAGTTGTAACCCAGCAAATGAAGATTATCCGAGAGCAGTTAGAAGAAAAAGATGCAGAAACGGCTAATTTGCAGAATCAAGCTACTGCCTTAAGGCAACAAAAGGAGGAAAAAGACCAGGAAATTGATGAATTGGAAATAACTCTGTCCATAGCTCAGGATGAGCTACGTGATTATCAACGCGAAGATTCCCTTGACTGGGTCATTTCACGGGACCATATTCAGCTGATAAGAACATTTCTTGGCAGAGGAGGCTAGGGAAGTGTTGTCGAAGGCAAATATTGTGGTTGTTCTGTTGTGGTAAAACAGATCCATGAATTGATTCTCTCTTGTCACAACCGCAAATTATTTGAGCGAGAAATGGATATTGTTCAAGATGCCGCCACCCTTGCTTGCTGCAGTTCATTGAAGCTACAAATGACGAAGGGAATCTATTGTTTGTAACAGAGCTCATGGAAACTGTTGGAAGAGAGAGCTCTTTCTGAGGCTGTATTGTGTTTTATTTCCCTGGATGTGGCTCGGGTGCTAAACTACCTTCACCAAAACCATTTTATTTTATTCACCGCGCCATCAGCAGTGCAAATGTGCTACTTTGGCGACAGGGTGAACATTGACGAGGCAAGTTGTCAGATTATGGAACTGCTAACTTTATGCGGCAGACTATGAGAGTTGCTTCCGATGCCATGATATACAGTGCTCCTGAAGGTTAGCTGTGATTTATTTATTGTAAATATGTGCGCATTTCACGCGCATGTAAGTTTATGAATCTCCTTGAATGTAAGGTATCAGACATGACATGATTAAATATGATTAGATTGATTAGTTTCAATAATTAATTTCATTATTCAGAATGGGAGAAAGGCATGAGCTTCCTAAGGAATGGAACATTTACTACGTGGGAGGTTGTCCTTTAAGTGTTATGTGGAAAGAGTTTATGAACAAATAAGTTTTATAATTTTGTTTGTAGCTCAGTTCTACAAAACGCCCTTCTACCTTGATTTTCAATCTTTAACGAAGACCCTTGTCGTATTTTTGGTAAGGATCGAAATTAGGGGGATGTCATTTTATTTTCCCCTGTTCCAGCTGAACCATTTGCGGCACGTGTTTGAATCAATGGCATGTGATTGGTTTGATGCCCTTTTTGCATGCTACGGATACCTTGCAATGTTAAGGTCATTTCGTAATATTGCATTGCACATCCTTACTGCGCATGATTTCACACCTGACCACTACGCGCAGATTAAAAATGTTGGCTTTTTCTTCGTGCTCGGTGCTCACCAGAGAGGTAAGTTGCCACTTTCTTCAAACAAGCAGGTTCATCTATCTTTTTTTCTCTCCCTTGGTGTTGGGCACTTATTATCCTTCCGTAAAATAAATATAAACGAATTCTCTATGCAGGAAAAGGAATTCGATTTTGGAAACGGGAATGTAGTTAGATCTGGTAACTATAATTTTCATTGTATTTTAGTAATTACATGGTACATTTACTGGGCAATGCTGCTCCTAAACGAAAACTAGGACCTGTATTTTTTATTTCAAAATTTACATTCCTATAAGGTAAACAACCAATGGCTAAAGTTTGACAAAAATCTCAGAGCAGGTTCTATTTCAGAAAACTGAGCCTAGGATCACACTCCAGGTGCTTCGAAAATAGAGTATCCATATAGAAGTAAGCTTTAATGCGTTTTATAATAAAGCTCGGATATAACACGTACTGTCATTGGTTGAAAGAGCGTGCTCTATGAGAGTATAGAGCATAGAACTGAGCTAAAGCTGTCACGCCATCTGCCAAATCGTACTATGTCCGACCTTTCCGGGACTTCTCTCTAGCTTTTCTTTCGTTAATTGACAGCGAAATTTCGGAACAAGCGAGTAAAGGTTTGCAAAAATGCCAGGCGCAGTAATTTACGTTACTGTAACGTGAGCAGAGACAAAAATCCTCAAAGATAAAACAAGATAGACAGTCCGAGTTTTTTTAACGGTTTTCACGCTCAGTTAGATTGCGAGTTTACGTACGGTAATAAAAATAAAACACAGCTAACACTTGTATAATAATATAAAGTTTCGATTTCAAACAGAAAAAAACAGGAATGATGAAAAATATAACCTGGCATAACTGTTAAAATTCATACTAATCATGACGGTGTCAGAGCGACTTAAGGTCTATCGCGGCTAGCTAATCATGGCGATCTTCGGTCATCGCAATGAAGCAAGCCTCAGGAACTAAATTGACTACCCTTCGAGTGAAAAAATAAGAGCTTGCCCTTATTACCTTTCCGATGCGTTGAGTGGAAGGCCAGATCAGTCAACCGAGTTTTACGGCGCTGTCATTCCGAGCGATCTTCATTTCTTAGTGAATTCGGCTGTTGTTCATTCATAATACACTCGCCTTGAACAGTTTGTTTTCTACTTGTCATGTGAAATAACTTGCGTATTTTTGTGAGCCACGATTGGGCCGAATTTCACTGACCATTTCACTTTCAGATCCTGTATTAGAAACTAAAAAACTTCAGGCAAAAGTGTTAAATTCGACATGCCGAGCTATTTTAGTTTGTAAACTATTGCAGAATATGAACTTTGATGGTTTTTGAACTTTGATGGTTTGACATTGACATTTTTGACAGCTTTAGTCTTGTACAGCCAATCAGATTATTTGAACCATTCTAACAGGGATTCTGATTGGCTTATTGTAGCGTGCTTTATGAGAGTTTAGAGCATGCTGACGACACTGTTGTTCGCTTTGGAAATAAGATTTGTTTTGAAAATTGAAAGTAATTCTTGGGGAATTTAACGGATTATTTATTATAAAACAAATAGGGAAGCCTTGACTGTGCTCTGTTCTGTTGTAAAGCACTTAGGAAGCGGCTAGAGCACGAAAGAAGTGGGGAGAAACACTCGATTACGTCTCGTGTTTCTCCCTACACTTCTTTCGTGCTCTAGCCGCTTCCTGCGTGCTTTACAACAGAACAGAGCACACTCAAGGCTTCTCTATTTGTTAATTATTCGGATAACACATTGTCACAAAGGTTTTTTTTTTTAAACAAAACGTCCTTTTCAGTGGTTCACAGAAAAAAATTAAATAGAAACGATAAAGAGGGAGTTTATGGGAAAATGTTCTCATGATTGTATAGCGAACCGTGTAAAGTATCTATAAATTTCTCATATGAGAATCATGTTTACTCCTCGTTCTGGAAATTACAACCTATGTGGTCGCCACATCTTGTCACCTTCTAAGCCGAGAACAACAGTATATTGTCAACATTCTTTTTATTACCGAGTTGCTAAAACATTGAATTCCCTATGAGATGGCCTGAGAACTTGCGAGGATTGATTTGAATAATATATAGGTTTAGCCAAGCCTAAAAGCGGAGCTCGCATTTTATTTTTCCCGCACGTCTCAAGTGCACAACGCCTTGCCCCGGCCAGGTCTAGAACCCGGGTCGTCCGACTCGGAGCCCAGTGCACTGACCACTGGACTACTGGACAAAGCCGTGGTATGGGCGTGCCCGCGGTACAGTTGACCACGCATGTTAAAAGTAGCACCTTGTACGGTCATACGGTCGTACGGCCGTACATCCAAATTTTTTCGGCTTGATGGGTTACTACAATTTTGTATAATTATGGGGCTACGCTCTGCGAGCTCCGCTTTAAAAGGAAAATTCTTAGTTTTGTCAATTTCAACATTTGATATCACAAGCACGTATTTTTATATCTATTGTCAATTATATCCTATTTTATAGTATTTTATATTTTATGAATGTATTTGACGGGCATGTAAATCTTATATTCTTATTATAATTTGTATTTTCGTTGTATCTTATTATATTTAACATTCACATTTGTGTTTAAATAAAGTTTATGTATGTTTGTGTGTATCGTGTACCTGGTTCTTGCGTCATTGTGTTTTCAGCGAGCAAGTAGTTTGGAGAGCACAAAAGATCGGAAAGGCAAACATTTCCTTAGGTTGCTAGAACTGCAAAAATTTGCCGAGCAAAATCGGAACAGGCCAACAGAAAAATTAAATCCCTGCTAACTCGAACCATTTTCCATTTCTCCAGTGGTTCAAGTTAGCGGGGTTGGATGATCAGTCGCTGGGTATTAATGTTTCAATGTTGTGAGTGGAAACTTCACAAGCATGATACTCAAGTTTTGTTTCGCTTTGACTTGAGTCTTTGATCTTTGCGATTCTTGCATTAACTAAAATCCTTGAGAAGAAAGCCAAAATGTTTTTTCTGATTGATTCCAAGGTAAAAGTTGAAAATTACTAGGTATGCTTTGTTGCCAGCACAAAGTTTAAGTGTTCCTCTTTTGTGTTGTCCATTTATGTTGCTTTTTAAAACCTAGGTTTCCTCTTTTTTCAGCCATTACTAAGATTACAGAAATGGAAGCAACTCTGTTTCAAGAGGGACTCAACGGAACAGGCTTGACATTCAGATGCCAGGTTAGATCCTATTGCTATTGTTAATAATATTAATGTATCTCTCCTCATGAATCAAGTAACCGCTCTATAACATGGTTTTAAAGCATTTGGTTTATTATCTGTTAGATATTGCTATAATGATTAAACTGTGGTTGACTTACCGTAAAGTAAAGTACTTTGTGCAGGAATAATCACATGATTCCAATCGGAGTGACGTATAAATATGTACAAAGAATTTCTCCAAAGACCGAAAAAGCTTCACAAACCCATAGGGCGAGTGCAATTTTTTTGTCTAAAATTTACCAGTTTTCATAAACTTATTCCAAATATCACAGGAAAACTCATGTGATTACTTATTAATAATTGCATACATTGAAAATTGCTGAGTCACCTTATGAAAGAAGCACAGAGGCAAAGCGCTCAAATCATGTGCAAGGCTCAAAATAATTTCCAGCTGGTGCTGGTCAAGATGTTCAGTCAAACCTATTATTGTTTGGACACCAAGTTTTGGCCAGATAAATGTCCATTATGTCACATCTTGATAAATCCTCATCTCCCCCTCCCCCAGTATATTTCCAGGCATTTTCACTCCTCTGCTATTATTTCACCGTTCACTGTTAATTTGTTGCTCCACCTTTCTCATGTTCTGTTCTGGTAATATCCACCTTTCCCTACATCTAGGCAGTTCGGTAATCATGGACCTATTATAATTGTAATCTGATAAACTTGAAGATTCCTCGAAAAAGATTTATGCAAGATTGGAGTAATTTAGATATATTCATCGCAAAGTTTCTAGGAGCTGAAGACATGAGGATATCAGATGACGATGTTATGTATGCCGAAGCTTTAAAGAAATATACGGTAATACACCCCTGACATGTGAAACTGATTAGCTCTTTGATTGGTATCTGACCAACTTGCCCACGAACAAACTTACTCATGCCAACTTGCTCACGCATAAAATCACTTCAATAAGCTCGTTACAGATTTAGACCTGTTTAAGTTTAGTTTGGATGTTTTATGTAAGGATAAGATAATAATTGAAGTTTCAACAACGTTTTGTTGACTTTAGACCGTTGCAGTACAAACAGAAGTGATTGGCAGCATGCAAATTACCGTCACATACACACATTTAGACGCTATGGAAGCTTTCCAACATTTGGAACCCTTTTGGCACCACAGAATTGTGTATTTCTTCAGTAGGAAAGCTTTAATTTATGTAAATGTTACACTTTCATGTTGTTTTGCATCTAGTGTTATATCTTTAGCTAAAGGTTGTTGGGGGATTTAGATCTCAGTGTTTGTATGTAATGGTATCGCGCAAATTATTCAATTAATGGATCTTCGCAATAATAAACACTATTTCGAAGGCAATAGAAAAGTAATTTTAAGTGTGTGTGTGTTCGTGGGCAATTTGACTGTTAATTTCATTCAGATTTTTTAAGCTAATTGAATTACTGGCTAGACTGTAACATGAATTGTATTAAATTTAGTACTTGAATCAGTCCTAAGATGTTATTATTTACAGTTAGCAGATGATGACATGTTGGATCCAAAACACTTTTTTTTGCTCCTAATTCCTTAAAAAATGGTATCACACACATTGTCCATCAATTTTGTCTTAGTAATTAATGATGATGCCACAGGAACAATACAGCTTGGAAGAGACATGCCTAATTTTACATTTATGTGCCTGTAACTTTTAAGAAAAGAATGATAACACCAATTTTTTAATAGTTAATTGCAATAGGCATATCAAGATTCATTTTGTTCAAAGTTACCTTTAAGCTCCCTGTACATCTTGCTGCTTTGTTAATATTTAACAATTATTCACCGAAGATGGAGAGAGTATTGTTGTATAATATTCACTGAGCTTAAGGGAATAATTGTTTTAGTATAATTACTTATAGGTACTTTTTTCATCTTTGTAGGCACAGACGAGAAGTGTTTTGGCAGGAGACTTGGAGACATATTGTGAATTATGTATTGACAGAACTTATGTCTGGATAGAGGAAGAGAAAACTGGAGTAAGAGAACTGAGTTTAGCATTTGTTTATCATACTATTGTACAGTTTTTATCCAGAAAATTTAAACCAGTTCTGAAATCCAATCCCAATTATTTACAGTCTATCAATTTTGTCTGAATTTGTGCTGCAAACTTGCTTGTTTGAATTATTGCACACAAAGCTCAGAAGATCATATTTAAGTTGTCTATGGAGTTGTCCTCTTGGGCATCTTACAAATCATCTTTTAGGTGTGTTTCAAGTTTTTCTTTGGTTATATTTTTGTAGGTTAGAAAGTACATACATCGCACCAGGGAAATACTATTCATTGCTCAAGATCCAGATGACAAAACAGTTTTTGGCTTTGTGTCCCGTCACCATATTTACGAAAATATTTATGAGCTTTATGCTTTAAAGTCCCAGGAAGTAAGTGGAACCAAAGAAGCCTTGCGCTAATTTAGCTGAATTATTAGGAATTAACATAGCCTCTTTATTTATGAACTAGTTTAGACTAGGAATCTTGCCTTCTTTAAAGAACAACGATTTGCGAGTCCAGCCTCTGGAACTCGTAGGCTTTTTTACATCAGAACCAATGAAGGTTGCCCAGTTATTGAGAGCTCAGGTAAAGAGAGTTCAGGTTGTCAAAGCAAATCGAATTGTTCCAAGGATTGCAGAGGGTAGCTTGTATAGTCTTAGAATAGAGTCATGTTTGACGGACAAACACCCGTGAAAAAGTACGATTTGATCCCGAGGACGTCCCTTGGCGCGGTTCTGTCTTTATGGTAACTAGCAACCCCTTTTTTCAGTACTCAGGTTGAGAATAACTTTCGCGAGAAAAAAAAGGCTGTGGACCGACCAGAATACGTACAGACACTGTAACTTCAGACGTAAAGATAATTTTTTGTGACGTCATTAAATTTGAGACCCAAAAAGTCATCTTCCTTTGTTAAAGTTCTATCGAAGGAAGGGTGCTCCATGTAATATCCAAAGCAGACAGATATATTTCTTAGTTACACATTTCTCTTTGATGATTGAGGATGATTACAAGGGTAAAATATTATAAACTTATTGGCCATTTTTTAAAATGAAGTTTCAAGCCTATTTTTTTTTCGTGCAGTTTTACCCCTTGCCTAGAGGTGAAATTCTTGTCTTCAGACAAACACTCTTCATTTATTATACAGATTACAACTTTAAGATTCTATATATCTCTATGAGTTGCGAGCTTTTGATATATTGCGTGATGTTTTTGCTCTTCAGGCCGAGGTTATCATTAAAACCTTGAGGGAATGTATGGGAGCTGCGACTAATATCATGACAGAGGCGGCCGGATCATTACATGGTAAATAAATTACCTATTATTTCTCTCGTCACCTGTGCATGTAAATTCAAAATACATTTTAGATACATTTGATCTTCCTCGGTTCAAGAACACTGACTTGGTACCTCTTCTTGCTCTTGTGCAAGATTGTCCGTGATTAGTTACGATTAGTTACCATCACCATGACAATATTCATCACTCACATTTTTTGTCCATCTTATCAATCTAATCAATCATAATCCTTTACGTGACATGTACCACAAAGGTTTCTAAACACTTAGGTGCTCTTTAAGAAAGGTGTGTTTAAAGTTCAAGGTCATTCGTGTTCAGTCCAACATCACCCCTCAGCGGGCTCTGAAGGGCTTGTGTGAGTCCAATTTGTTTCACTTGAAAACTTCGAAAAGTAGTGAAAGGCATTTGAGTGCGCTCTTTTGAAGGGGTGACATTTTTCCCATCCTTTTCTTAACGATTTTCAATCGACAAATTTCGAGTGCACGTGAAATTTAAAAGTGACATGACCAATAACATTCTGTGGCTATTAAGAGCGGTCTAAGTACACGAAGATACAAATCCAGTTAGATGTTACTGCAAGTACCACTGAGTTTACTCACTCAAACGACGAGTGACGATGAATAACGGCTTAGCTTAATTTACTTTTAGACGGGAAGAATGATAAAATGACAGGTAGCAATTTTTATGCTCTTGTAGTTGGATCTATGGTAGAGGTTCGTTGTTGAATGGTATTCAAATATATGGTGTCATTCGCTGGATGGGAAATATGCTACAAGTGAAGGAAAAGGATAAACTCAAGTGATCCCTATCCTCCACTTCTGCCTCGGTCTTTGTGCATGACATCGTGCTCCACAGTTTTATTTTAGTGATTTTTTTAAACTTCAAATGTTGTAACTTTCTAAATGAAATTGGAATATTTTATAGAAGACCAAAAAAATACATAATTTGCGTGTTTGGTCAACTAAACGAGAAACATCAAAATTCAAAGTACCTATGTCGAGTTGTAGCAAGCGTCGCAGCTTGGCTGAGGTTCTTCAAGCACTTTCGATGACTGTAACATTTTCAAGACATGTTCCGATCATGGGCTCACAAGAATTCATCTAGTGAACAAAAATATGTTTTCCACTTCCGGCCTGGCACAGTGTCTAAAGTTTACAATAAGTTTTAGGTTTCTCATCTTATGAACAGGCCAGCGACAGACAGAGAAAGAGGAGCAAGAAGGAAATGGCCTCAGGCTGGTGAGAGAACTGAAGGAGCAGGTGACACATATGCTAGCAGAAGTGCAAGAGAAAGGGTTGAGAGAGACCGAGATACATTTGGCTAAGATGAATCAGCAGCTGATAAACCTGTGGGGGCATATGCAAGAGAGACATGATCAACTGAGAGATGTAACCCAGCAAATGACGATTATCCGAGGGCAGTTAGAAGAAAAAGATGAAGAAACTGCTAACTTACAGAATGAAGCTACTGCGTTAAGGCAACAACTGGAGGAAAAAGACCAGGAAATTGATGAATTGGAAATAACTCTGTCCATAGCTCAGGATGAGCTACGTGATTATCAACGCCAAGATTCCCCTGACTGGGTCATTTCACGGGACCATATTCAGCTAACAGGTAGATTTCTCGGCAGAGGAGGCTGGGGAAGTGTTGTCGAAGGCAAATATTGTGGTTGTTCTGTTGCAGTTAAACAGATCCATGAGTTGATTCTCTCTCCTCACAACTGCAATTTATTTGAGCGAGAAATGGATATTGCTTCAAGATGCCGCCACCCTTGCTTGCTGCAGTTCATCGGAGCTACAAATGACGAAGGGAATCCATTGTTTGTAACAGAGCTCATGGAAACAAGTTTACGTACTTTGTTGGAACAGAGAGCTCTTTCTGATGCTGAAATGTCTTTTATTTCCCTGGATGTGGCTCGGGCGCTAAACTACCTTCACCAAAAGCAACCATCTCCTATTATTCACCGCGACATCAGCAGTGCAAATGTGCTACTTTGGCGACAGGGCGAACATTGGCGAGGCAAAGTGTCAGATTATGGAACTGCCAACTTTATGCAGCAAACCATGACAGTTGCTCCTGGTGCCATGATTTACAGTGCCCCTGAAGCAATTACTAAAAATCAAACCGTCAAGGTTAGCTATAATTTTTTATTGCATATATGTGCGCATTTCACGTGTATGTAAGTATATGAATTACCTTAACCTCAAGGTAACGGACATTAATTAATGCTAATTTTGTTACTGCTGTTAGAAGGTCAGGGCTTTTTTATTGTGTTGACATGAAATAGACAGTATGCATAAATAGCAGGCCGGATTAGTATTCTACTGTACTCATGTGTATTAGCCTAACTTGTGTCACCTTTGAGTTAAGGTTTTTTTGACCCAAAGACATACTGACAGTGGTAGTTGGGCTAATCTACATGAATACAAAAGAATACTAATCGATTCTGCCATGGGATTTATATAATCAAGTAGTATCGCTAATCTCGAGACAGATGTGGATTGAGACACTTTGGCTCATTAAACTTAAGAACCTTTAGTGCAGTGTTGTGTTTTCCTCTCATTTTCGTCCTTTATCTTGTTCAGGTTGATGTGTACAGTTTTGGTGTCCTCCTCTGTGAGATGTGCATCCGGGAATTGCCAGATCCATTAAGGCGTGATCGGCAAGTCGTCATGGTTAAAAACAAATTGAATCGAGCCCTTATCCGGAAGTGTCTGCAGTCAGAGCCTGAAACGAGACCAAGCATACAGGAGATCATTGATGAACTTGAGGAACCTGTTTAAAATAGGTTTGGTCGGTTTTGCTTTTAATAGAATAAACGTAATTCTGCTATTACCAATGTAATTGTAATGGTAAATATGTTACGGAGTGACATCTCTTGTGTATTTCTACCCCTGAAAGTGATAAGACATGATTAGATTGGTTAAATTTCGAGGGAATGGAAAATGATAGGAGTATCTCATCTAAAAGCGTTTACTACGGGGGAGGTTTTCCTTGTAGTGTTATGTAAAGAGAGTTTATGGTACATGTGCTACGGAGGGACATCTCTTGTGTATTTTCCCCTACCTTTGAAAATTATAAGACATGATTAGATTAATTAAATTAAATAGGAGTATCGTCGACTAAAAGCGTTTACAACGTGGGAGGATGTCCTTTTAGAGTTATGCAAATAGAGTTTATGAACAAATAAGTTTTATGATTTCTTTTGTAGCTCAGTTCTCAAAAACGCCTTCACCTTGATTTACATTTTAAACGAAGACCCTTGTCGTATTTTTGGTAAGGTTTGAAATGAGGGGGGATATCATTTTATATTCTCTTGTTCCAGCTGAACCATTTTTGGCACCTGTTTAAATCAATGGCGTGTGATTGGTTTGATGCCCATTATGTATGTTAAGGATACCTTTCACTTTTAAGGTCATTCCTAACATTACATTGAACATCCTTACTGCGCATGATTTTACATCCGACCACTGCGCGAAATTAAAAATTTTCGGGTGGCTTTTTCTTTGTGCTCGGTGCTCACCAGAGAGGTAAATTGTCACTTTTTCCAAACGAGGAGGTTGATCTATCATTTTTTCTCTACATTGGTGTTGGGCTCTTATTATCTTTCCGTAAAATAAATTTAACGAATTCCCTGTGTAGGAAAAGGAATTCAGTTTTTGGAAACGGGAATTTTGTGAGAACTAGTAACTATAATTTTAAGATATTTTAGTAAGTTTTTGTTATGTATACTAGGTAATGCTGCCCCTAAACGAAAACTGAGACCTCTCTTTTTTATTTCAAAATTTACATTCCTACAAGGTAAACAGTCAATGGGTAAAGTTTGACAGAAATCTCAGTGCAGGTGCTATTTTAGAGGGCTGACCAGGTGCTTCGAAAATAGAAAATTCATGTAAAAATAGGCTTTGATTCGTTTTATTCGGATAACGCATTAGTGACGTGGTGCTTTTTTGAACAAAACGTGCTTTTCAGGAGTCCATAGAAGAATAAATTAAGTAGAAGTGATATAGGGAAAGTTTATTGGAAAAATGTTCTCCTGATTGTACAGTGAATCGTGCAAAGTATCAATTAGGTTCTTAAATGAGAACCATGTTTACTCCTCGTTCTGCATATTACAACCTACGTGGTCACCACATCTTGTCACTTTCTAAGCCGACAACAGTGGTCCACATTCTTTAATTACCTAGCTGCTAAACTATTGAATTCCCTGTCTGATGGCCTGAGAGCTTGCGAGGATTTATATGTATTTAGGAGGAAAATTATTAGTTTTGTCAATTTTAACATTTGATATCGCAAGCATGTATTTTTATATCTATCTTAATTTACATTGTATTTTATAGTATCTTATATTTTATCAATGTATTTTTTTGAGAGCTTGCGAGGATTTATATGAATTTAAGAGGAAAATTCTTAGTTTTGTCAATTTTAACATTTGCTATCACAACCTTGTATTTTTATATCTGTCTTGAATTACATTGTATTTTATAGTATCTTATATTTTATCAATGTATTTTTTTGATAGGAATGTAAATCTTATATTCCTATCAGAATTTATATTTTCACTATATTTTATTATATTTAACAAGACATAAACTTTGTAGCTATATTCACATTCGTGTTGAAATAAAGTTTATGCATGTATGTATCGTGTGACTGGTTTTTGCGTCACCGTGTATTCATCGAGTTACGAAGCAAGCAGGTAGTTTTGGGAGCACAAGATGAATAAAGGTAGCTTGAGGCGCAGCCAAGAACGACTTTATCTTCTTGATTGCTCCCCAAACTTTATAAGGGCTTTATAACTCGATGAACGCACCACCACACGTGTCCTTCCGGGCGCCATAACCAATTGAGCAGCGGAGCCTCAGGTGGGAATTATTGCAAATCCTAGTGGGATTGTCGTTCCCTTAGAGGAATATGATGAAATGAAATAAGTAATATTTTGATCCGAGGATGAAATACAAAGTAAAGAAATAATCTTTACAGGTGAGCTGCAGCTAAAGAAATTACAGAATGGAAGCTCTTCCCCTCGTCCCATCTGCAAAATTTCTGTGGTCTTCCCTAAAAATAGTCGTTTTTGTGGATAGAAAATTGTAAATTATATCCTAGATTTTCAGTACACATGTTTAGCAAGAGCCAACAAATTTGAATATAGAGTACTTCATATTCAGCATATCATTTGATTTGAAGTCAAACTTTAAAGCCAGAAACTTTATATTGGGAGGTTTTTCTCCAAGTGCTTATAATTTTCAAATTATGAGGTCTTTGCTAGAAAGCAGGCACCCACCTGCTCTCCTTCCAGCCCTTATGCCTATGACTGTGAATGGATTTCCACACACGTTGAAGCAAACAGGCATCCGTAATTTACATCACTAACACAGGCGACGGAGAGCACCATAAGACTGCATGAAACCCTTCATGTCACGAGCAAAATTCAATTCGGTACGAGGCTAGCAGATTCAGTCAAGTAGCTGGCTTGGTGGAGCTTTACTGCGAAAGATGATGTCGTAAAGGATCGCGGTCTGCGCCAGGGACCTAGCCGGGATATTTTAAAAGAGGGGGGGAGGGGCGGCGGGTCACCATGTGTGAAACAGGTTACTCACCAGATTATCATGTCACGACCTTAACCCAATGCGTTCAAAAAAATAATTAAAAAAGGGGGAGTCATGGGCACCCCCTTCCCCCTCCCCCCCCTTCCCCCGTTAGTTGCGCCCTCACGTGCGGTTTCCGGAAAGCGGAAAGCAGCTCGCTTTTGAGGTCTCCCATTTTCACGATAACCGCTTAGGACGAGGACGAGGACGAGGCCGAGTGGAAGAGTCTTTTTTCAGCATCCTTTTGTCTAAGATAGTGCTTAATTTTTCTGTATCGATCAACAGTATACATTCTCAATTGCTTTCCGTTTCCCTTTGAGCGACTGATCAGTTCGTAATCAGTTCTTGGGAAACTTTAAAATATTAGCGTATTTGCTGTTGTTCCATAATACAACTAAGTTGAGTTTTTATCTTTTCATATTGCGTAGGTACGTAAGCGTTTCGGCTCCACTCTAAATAATATCAGGTAGGCTTGATGGTGAGTCTTCCCAAGCAATTTTAAGAGTGTTGGGGTCTGGTAAATAAAGGAACTAACCCGGCTTCTAAAATTTACTTCTCATGATTCGATTGAGGAATGGTGTGGGTATCAATTGAACAAGGATAGCATTCGTTAGACTACCTGTAAAAAAATTTCGGTACCCTTCAAATTTCCCCGTTCACTCATCCGCCGACTTGGTTAGCACTGCTCGTAAACCAGCCCTCAATGCAGTGTGCAATACTCTCGTGGTACAGAAGAAGGTGCAGAAGAACGGGAGAACTTGATCTGCATCCTGTTCTAACTGTAGTACAATGTAACTGAACATAGTGCGCATCGTCTAATTTGTCCATTCACTTGCCAAGCGAATGCTTTATCAGGTCATAGAGCTAGGAAAAATTATTCTATTGCTCAAATATTTAAATTTTTTAACTTGAAAGGCTGAAGTATAAAAGATTGTTTTTTTTCTACGCAGCATATGTAACTATCTAAGAGCTAACTTGCTTTGGAAGACCTTTACGAAGCAAAGAAATCGGTAAGTCACCACTCCTAGTAGATACTATTGTAACTGAGGACTGATCATGATATTTTTTATTGTTTGAAGAGCATCTATGGATTATCTGATTCAGCTGTAACTTGACATTTTATGATGACGGTTTCTTTTGTTAATTGCCACAGAAGCCTGGAAGTACTTTTATTAAGAGTCTGTCTTTAAAAGGAGTTAATTACAACACAATTTACGCTTTTTTATTCAGCTTAATTCTTTCTGTTAGCTCAAAGAAAAAAAAGTTTTACACAGCGAAAAATTTAAATAAGTAACCCTATAATCATCGCCATGCCAATGGATATGAAAGGCTTCTGGTAATACTGAATTCGGACAATGGGTAATCTGTCGCTGGGTTTCAATGTTTCAATGTTGTGTGTGTGGACACGAGACAAACATGATACCCCAGTTTTGTTGCACTTTGACTTGATTGTTTGATCTTTGCAATTCTTGCATTAACTAAGATCCTTGAAGGGAAAGCCAAAATGTTTTTTTCTCAAACATTGAAGAAGTCGCACTGGTTATTTTTTTTTGGCATACCTAATTACATTGAGAGCCTCTAGAAAATCACTGTCAACTATAAAAGTATTGTAAGGAGCAGGAAGCTAACTAACATGAGTACCAATAAGGCATAGGCATAAGTAAAGTTATAATTCTAGGCTAGTACATTAGTGGTCGATTTGTAAACCCCTTGGAATAGTTGTTCTCCAACACATAGAGTCATAAATACATTCTTCTATCACCCAGCAACTCTGATAATAGGACTGCAGTCCAATTTTTTTCGTCATCTTTACAAGTTATGCTTTGTTGCCAGAACAAAGTTTAAAGTGTTCCTCCTTTGTGTTGTCCATTTATGTTGCTTTTAAAAACCTGGATTTCCTCTTTTTTCAGCCATTACTAAGATTAAGGAAATGACAACAACTATGCTTCAAGAGCCATCCAGTGAACCTGACTTCATGTTCAGATACCAGGTTTGATCCTTATAATTTTAATTATCCTTTTTATTATCACAATTAAACCCATTGTTATTGTTATTATTCGTGATATTATTATATCTCTCCTCCTGAATCAAATAACTGCTCTGTAACTTGGATTTTAAGCATTTGGTTTATTATCTGTTACATAATTATACAGTGAGTAAACTGTGGTTGACTTGTGATAAAGTGAAGTACGTTGTGCAGGTATGATCACATGATTCCAATTGGAGTGTAGTATAAATATACACATGAAATTTTCTAAAATTTATCAGTTCTCATAAATTTATTCTAAATAGCTCAGGAAAACAAGAAGCACAGATGCAAAACTCTCAAATTATGTGCAAGGCTCAAAATAATTTCCAGCTATTGCTGGTCAAGTTGTTCAATCAAACCTATTATTGCTCAGACACCAAGTTTTGGCCAGATATATGTCTACTGTGTCATACCTCAGTAAATCCTTGCCCCTCCCCCATATCTCTTTCTGGCATTTTCCCTCCTCTGTTACTATTTTGCTGTTTACTATTTGTTCCACTTTACTAATGTTCTGGTCAGGTAACATCCACCTCTCCTTCTATCTAGGCAGTTCAGAAAGCTGCAAATTTTTGAAAATGACGTTACTAGCCAATTTTTTTGTGCAGATTTACCCCTTGTCTTAGAGGTAAAATTTTTTTTCTGTAGACAAACACCCATCATTTATTATACAGATTACAACTTAAAGACTCGCAATTGCATGTCTCGATGAGTTGCGAGCTTTTGATATACTGCATAATGTTTTTACTCTTCAGGCCGAGGTTATCATCAAAATCTTGAGCGAATATGCGGGAGCTGCGACTAATATCATGACAGAGGTGGCCGGATCATCATATGGTATGTACTACTGAGCCAAAGTGCCCCATGTACGTTATTTGATAGTTAGTCAGGTTGGTTTTTTACTAAGTAGATGACCTATTGATTTTCTCGTCGCCTGTGTCTTTTTTCGGGCGCGCACCTCTTCGATATCAGCTCGCTCTTGTGCAGGATTGTCATTAGTTACAGAGTGCTTATCATCACCATCATAACACAACCATCTCAGTTGGTTTTCTTATGTTTTTGGTGTTTTTCTTCAAGTTACAATAACTATGGCACTCAAGTTCCTAACGGAATCGAGTTTATATATGGTTTATTTACAGTACACGGAAAAAACGCGGGCCCCTTGATTAGACGTACCGTTTTCTGCACTCGTGAAATATGCTAAGCGCACCATTTGATTGTCTTTTGGCAGGAACTGCTTGTTTAGAAAAAAAAACTAGTTTCGCACCTTTTAAAAGGGTAGATGTCAGTCTTTATGTTATCATTAGGCTTTCCCTTTAGTCCTAATATAACTTTCCGATATGTATTTGTCCAGGTCCTTTTTCTCTCAATCTGTGTGTTGTGTGCATTCATTATTTGCCAAGGGATCAAAGGCGTAATCCTTAAGTCGAACGGGTAAATAATTGCTGATAATGCACTAGAAATCATTATGACACTTAAATATACCTCCATGTACTCCGTAGGTGGCGACGTTTCTTTGCATTGGGGATAATTCTCTTTTAAATATCAAAACCACAGGTTTCAGTGATATAAAGTCGTGTGTAATAGAATGCAAAGTTTTTGTACGGTCAAAGGTTGTCTTTTCATTAGAACAAGTTTGATTAGTCAAAGTCGGAAAAATCCAGAAGTACAGTGAAAACAGCTCGTCCTAAGTTTAGCGAGTTAAAAATGCAAGCTGTTTTCTCATGAAAAACAAGGGATTATCTCGCTTTTATGACCAGAAATTCCCGCAAGGTTATGCTACCTCGCGAGATGGTATAACTCGTCCTGATAAATGCCGCAGCCAATCACATTGCCCGTACTGACAGATGCTTGTCAAATCGTGAACTGGCAAGTATTTTCCAAACGTTCGCGCTCACCTCGTGGTTCACTTTGCAAACAGTGCTTTCGAAATGACAGACGAATTCACTCGTAATAGTTTCCCTTTCCAACAATCCGTCGTATCCTCTGAAAGAAACGCCATCTCCTTCGGGGAAATCAGGTGAGAATCAATATACAATAGAAGTCATTAAAGATGCTTCGTCTCCTGCCATTTTTTCAAAGTTGCGCGCTTTTGTAATTTTTAATCTTCTGAGTAAACTGCTTAAATTTCACAGTGAAAACAGATGTCAAGTTTAACTAGTAAATGTTGGTCTGTAAACAAACACCTAGAAAGAATGTTCAGCTAGAAAAGTGGTCCAGTGAAAACACAACCAAAAAGGCTCAAAGTTTACCTTAAAATTGTATCATTTAGCACTTACTTTGAAGCCGGTAAATCTCAAATGTCCTAGCTATTAGTAGCTCTACATAATAAGAAATCTGTGTAGGCTTAAAAGCCCTTCAGAGACAAACAAACTATTCAGATGACTGCCTTATTAGAGAAGAGTCAAGCCTTGGCATATATGTGGCAGAAGCTATAGTTCAAGAAATGAATAATGAAAATTTTTTTCTCAAAATGTCAACAGGATATAGTAATTGTTTTCCTCCTCCATGCGCTGCATGACAATTAGTTAACATTAGTCGTATGTACCTATAGAAAAGTCTGCCACCTTCATACAGGGGGTTTTTTTTTACATTAAAAATGTGCATTGGGCCGCATGGGTCATTAATATTATCTTTTATTCTGATCCATCAAATATTTTTGCTCGCGCGCGATTGGTCTAAACGCAGAACGTGACCTAGAACATCACCTTTGCGATATTCCCCGATTTTTAAACCTTACGTCCAGTAAAATAAGTCTTCGTTTCAAATTTAATTTAAGACGAGAGAGGGTTTTGTGGCTGTTACATAAAAAGGAGAATCTTTTTCGGTTCTTCAAGTCGTACCAGAGAACACTCAAAAGAAAACATCCCACGCTGCAGACAGTAAGCTGTTCGTAAACATGGATAATATACACAATAGCCTTTGTGGGGCGTGAAAATGTGTGCGGATATTTGCCCTTTGCACTCGTTCCCGGTACGGGGGGAAGGAGGGGGGGAAGAGTACATCGAGTTTTCCTCACGATATGAAAGGGATGTTCAGTCGCATCTAAGTCAAGGGCGAGCATAAGCCCATCTTTCTACCCTAAATCTGGCCATTTTTAGCCCCAAGTATCGACCGTGTCTTAGTGCATTGCTGGGATGGCCTGGAAAAAATCATGGCTCGGATGCTCTATCGAGTCTTCGCGCGGTCTGACGTCACCGTCTACGTTCACCTATCCCAATGTGTGAGGTCTTTAGATAACCAAATTTCACGACTATCGACTGATTAATTTTACTGGGATCTTCATGTGTAATGGACAGTTCAGCGAAGAAGTAAATTCTTCGTGATCTTATTGGAGGCATTTGCTGTACTCTGTTGAATCTTAACTGTATTAGGGTTCTAGGATGTTGTTGAACTTTCTAACGAAAATGCCAACTTGCTTTAAGCGATTTCATCGCACGAATCAAATCATCAGACATTTGTCGAGAGGAAACATTTGATAATCACACCTAATATTTTTTCCAGAGGTGAGGTTCTTGTTTATGTGAATGGATTACCTAACGAACAACCTGGGATTATGCGATACAAAGGCGAATTATCACCTACCCCTAGACTTGGTTTGGAGTTGAACTGAGAGTATCAATTAAATTTCTAACGATGATTTATGATGGACGAGAACAAGTTCATTTGGCAATAAATAACAAGGGAAAAATTAAAAACATGAGGACTCTCTCCTTAAAAGCATTCCAGAAAGTTAGATAATCGTTACGTTTTAGCGAGAAATGGGGGCCACGTTTTGTTTTTTCGGGACTTCACTTTGATGCCGTTGTTTGCTAAAAGATGTTTTCCATTTTCTATTTTTCATAATAGAAAGCTAGTCGTCTAAAGTATGCATAATTTTGTATGATTTAAGTCGTAACTATCGGCGTTTGCTGCAGGGGCCATTAATTTGAGCAAAATGATTAAAAGAGATCAGCGAAATATTAACGATACCTACCTCAAAGTAAGAGAGAGTCTTCTTATTTAAACAAGACTTCCAAACAGGAGCCTATAACCGAGAGAGGGTACTTTTTAAGGGTCACGTGTGTTCTGAAATGTTCCCCAGATTTATTAAGATCTTGTGTACCGAAGGGTTGGAATTTAGTTTTTAGAAAAAAAACGAGCACACTGTTACATGAATGTCTGTAGAGCACGTCCTGTGTAGCAGAAACTTATGTGAATTCAAGTAAATTCAATTTCTAAACAGATATTGCGACTATGGGATACGTCAAAATTTTAACGCCACGACACGTATGATTTACATGATTATTTAGTCACTAAGGACCATGCCAAGTTTCATTCATAAATTAATTGGTTTTCGCAAGGTACCAGACAAATCCTAACATATAGATGGCATGGTTATATATTGTCTCTAGAAGGAGGTGGGAGAATCACCGTAATAGTTGCAGTATTTTTCCGTTTAAAAAGATTTCATATGGATCAAATTAAGGTGTTGTTGACAATTGACTCAACACGATTTTGTGGAAAAAAGTAGAGTGGTATCGCGCATCGACCCGCGCCTGACATCTTATTTTCAGACCATCTAGCACTTCTATTTAAATTGAAAACAGCTCGACCACCTCTCAAAGTTGGCTGTGTCTCGTTTAGGAAGCTGCGATCAGTTGATAGGGATGCATTTATGGATGAGATTCGTAATAGCAAACTTTTCCGAATGGATACTGATGATCCTGATGAGTTTGCTGCCTTATTTGACAATATATTGGGTTTCCTGCTGAATCGTCATGCTCCCGTTAAGCATAAGAATACTACTAATCGATCATGTGTTCCATGGATGAACGACGAAATTAAATTGGCTAAACGACAAAGGAGGAAAGCTGAAAGGAAATGGAGAGCTTCTAAAGCTCACATCGATTTACTGTCTTACCGGACTATGAGAAATCGTGTGACATTTCTGAGTAACAAGGCTCGTAGCGACTATTATACCGCCTTCATGACTGAGAACAGCACAGATCAGAGAAGGTTATTTAGAGCAAGAAATTCCTTGCTAAATTTATCGAAAGGTTCTGGCCTTCCATTATTTACCAATGATTATCAGTTGGCTAATGATTTTGGAAAATTCTTCGCCCAAAAAATTGCTGATATCAGGTCTGATATCAGGTCGGTTAGTACAAACCAGATCTGCCTTCCTGTCAACGCAACTAGTACTGTGACTGCTTCCTATTTTCAGAATTTAATCTGTTGTCTGAATCAGAGCTGTTTGATCTAATCACAGCTTCGTCTTAGAAGTCCTGTCCTCTTGATCCTATTCCAAACAAACTTCTTAATGAGTGCGTCGATGCGCTACTGCCTCCGATCACCAAAATAATTAACCTTTCGCTTGATTCTGGTTATTTTCCACGCACCTGGAAGTGTGCTCTAGTGCGGCCGCTGCTGAAAAAGGATGGATTACCTCCTGTCTCTAAGAACTTCAGACCAGTGAGTAATTTGGCATTTATCTTAAAGCTATTTGAGACTGTGGTTGCCAAGCAACTACAACATGATTTAAATTGTAACAATCTGTTCCCAGTGTTCCAATCAGCTTATCGACAAAACCATAGCACAGAAACTGCACTGCTTAAGGTTATGAATGACACTCTCTTGAACATGAACGATCAGTGTGATACTTTGCTAATTCTGCTCGACTTGAGTGCTGCCTTTGATTCAGTTAATCATGACACCATGCCACGTCGACTTGAATACTCATTTGGTATACAGGGAAAAGCCCTCTCCTGGTTTGCATCCTATTTGTCTAATGATCAACGAGTCACTATCTAAACCTTTTAAATTAGAATGCGGCGTGCCTCGAGGTTCCTGCCTTGGCCCACTATTGTTCACGTTGAACACTAGTGAGTTTTTTGATATAATTAAACATCATCTACCTATGATTCACTGTTACGCTGATGATTCACAAGTTTACATCTCATTTAGTCCGAACGACAGAGCTGAAAAACTTGCGGTGGTGAGGAATATGGAAGACTGCATCAGAGACATTTGTTCTTGGATGTTTAATAATGATCTTAAGTTTCATAACGACAAGACATTAGTTCATCACAACAGCTGGGAAAGCTAGATAATATCAGTATACATGTGGGTGACTCAGATATTCATCCCGTGCCACTCGCGAGAAATCTTGGTTGTTGGTTTGATTCTAGGCTGCCCATGGCATCACATATCACAAAAATCTTTGCCTCTTCATTTTACTATATTTATAATATTCGTCGGATCAGAAAGTATCTTTCACGGCAGTCATCTGAGATACTTGTCCATGCATTCATAACAAGTCGTCTTGACTATTGCAATGGTCTTTTATATGGACTACCAGACTGCTTGTTGAATAAACTGCAACGAGTACAGGACGTTTGCGCCAGACTGATTTTTAAAGAACAGAAATTTTTTCATGTAATACCTCTTATTTATGAATTACACTGGTAGCCGATTAAATATAGAATTGATTTTAAAATACTTTTAATTAATTTCAAGATTCTTAATTTTTTAGCGCCTACTTATTTATCGTTTCTCATTTCTCTTAGTCTCCCATCTAAATACAATCTAAGGAATTCTAATGATAACCCTTTTACTTAATCGTTTCATTTGACATAAGAAGCGCCAGCACAGTCAGTATTTTTAAAGCCAAGCTAAAAACTCACCTTTTCTGTCATGCATTGTTATCATATCAAGTTTACTCTTAATGTTATTTTAGCTTTTTAGCCTTTTCATTTCGTTTTTTAATCTTGTCATGCGCATGAGAGGGCTGCTACAGATGAAACTGGCGAAGGAAATGCCAGGAAGTTGAAGAGGAAATTGAGGAAATTGAAACACACCCTGATACAGAGTCATCAGGTAAGCGCCACCTGCTGCGAATTGGTTAACGAGTGATGATCTATGGGATTCGATGAGAAACTTGGTGAAACAACCTGCATTTTATTACGTATTTCACACACGGAGGGCAAAGTCCAGATGGGCAATAACCAATCAAGGAGCCTACTTTGAAATATTATCCTTTTCTTCTCTCATTTGAAATCGCAACATCGCAATGTCTTTGCTTTGGTTCTATTGAAGATACAATAGAGTTCCAGTTTGCTTTTCATAATAAAAATTACATGGAATTAAACTTTTTAGGCAACTCACTGTAGACAAATAGTTTTAATTTTCTCTCTGTTAGAGGAACGGCACTAAATGTAGTCCCCTTCGTAACCGTTATTTGGTCTTGTCACACAACGCTCTCCAATGGGGAATAGTTAGCGTTGTGTGACGAGATCAAAAGATTTTGATTGTGTCACGATAAAATGTACCCCTTGGCTCTGTAATATTCTTATGATCTCCCTTTATTACCAGGAGTTAATGGTCAGTCAATTCTAAAAAGTCTCCCCCTTTATTCTCTTTTGGCAACGACCGATCCCCCACTCGTTCCCCTTGAAAACCATGTAACACCCCTCCAAAAAAATCCTCCCCCGTCCCCATTCCCCATGTTAATAGATAATGACTGATTCCTAAACACTCATTCACTCAAAAGAGGTATGGTACTACAGTTGTATAATTTAACGGATGGAAATATTTTTTTCGAAGAACCATCTCCATTATTACTAACTGGACTTCTTTGATTATCACCTCTAGTGTTTAAAACTTTCTATAAATTTTGAATAAAACCGACTCTCTTTTAGAACATCAGGAAAATCAGTCGAACGCATCCAAAAGAAGAAAACGAACCAAGAAAAGGGGCCTAGACAAAAAGAAGTCCGGGAAGAAATGTTACGAGCAGACTCGAGCGAAATGGAGCAAAGGATAGGAAGTCAAACGGAAATAGAATCAACATTAACTGCGTTACTCCGATAGCTCGAGGAAAGGAACCAGCGAGTGACCACTCTTCAGAAGCAACTTAGGGAGACGAATCAGCAGTGTTTAGAAAGATAGGAACGAGTATAAAAAAAAGTAAAAAAAAATAAAAAATTGTTTGTTCTGGCGAGAGATTGACATCGCCTCAAGATGCCGCCATCCTTGCTTACTGCAGTTTATCGGAGCAACTAACGAAAAGGGAATTCCCCTCTACGTCACGGAGCTCATGGAAACAAGTTTGAGGCAACTGTTAGAGCAGCGACCTTTTTCCAAGACCGAAATATCTGTTATTCCTCTGGATGTAGTTCAAGCTTTAAACTTCCTTCACCTAACGAAAACCTTCCCCGATTGTCCACCGTGACATCAGCAGTGGCAATGTGTTGCTATGGCGACAAGGAAATCGATGGCGAGGGAAAGTTTCTGATTACGGCGCTGCCAAATTCAAGGAACAGAAGATGTCAACTAGTCCTGGCTGTTTTGCTTACAGCGCTCCCGAAGTAAATCTTTGAATCAGACGGCGAAGGTTAGGAGATATCTAATGTACCTATTTGCCTAACTACATAACTTACATGCAACCACTATTGCCTTTGTCGTATGGATAAGTTACTGAGTTACAAAGTAGTAGTTTCGATACTATTTAAAGCGGTAAAAGAGTGATAAAAAAGAAAGTTGATGAGACACTTGAATAAAATAATTCGTAAAGTCGTTAACGCTGGGATACATTTCCTTGAATAGCTTACCAACAAGTGTTTCCTGCTTGATTGGAAAGGAAAAGATGTCTTGTCGTCTCAGGCTCTCAAATGAAGTAGTGAAAAATAAAGTGGAGTGGTAATTTAAATGGAATAATATGATGGATTGTTTATCATACAGATGGAATGATAATTTAGCTCTTTTAGCTCATTCAATAATTTGAACAACCTTGAAACGGCGATTATAAAACATACAAACGCACAGCATTGTACCTGTGACACTTATGTACGACAGCAAGTCGCTTTCACGAACTCTCTTGATCGTGCCTGGTATTCGTCGCAAGGGGAGGGAAAGTTTTCCAGATTCAGCAATATTTAAATTATTCCCGAGACCCGAATGATCATTAATTTCGTTCAAATTTTTTGGTTGCTGTTTTCTTTTTTTCAAGATTGATGTCTACAGTTTCGGTGTTCTCCTGTGTGAAATGTGCACCTTTAAGCAGTTTACAGACCCACAAAAGCGGCTAGCGCAAGTAAATATATATGGTGAGAAACAATGGCCTGCGGAAACTTGTGCGTCGATGTCTGAAGACAAATCCCAAGGAAAGACCAGACATGACAGAGATCATAAGTGAGCTGAAGAGGTTACGTTGAAACCGACTGCTAAGTCGTAACCTTTTTACTCGATCTGTCCGAAATACGCCAGTTTTTGCACGTTCTCCCGAAGCTTGTTGCCGTAAGACTTCCGTTTATTTAGTCTTATCTGTGATGGTTGAAAGTTTTTCATAAAGACTTTTTTCGGGCTACGTCTATATGGAATTATTTAGTAACGATATTTAGCAAATATGATACCAATTATAAATGTTCTTTGATAGATATAGAGAGAAAACCTTATTGTCAACATGTCATTACTTAGTAGAAGCTACTTCGAGGAAGCGTACAAAAGCGTACAGATGTATATATTGTAAAGCGGTTTTTTGTGCAAACGGGTTCTCTGTTATTTAAATTTGGGTCGCAAATTAAAATTCATGCGTATTCCATGCGAAAAATGTGTGCTTTGCCAACTCTTGGATCAAAGTTTTGGATGTAGAAATAGCAAAAAAAAGCCACCCAATAATCAAGAAAAGAGAGGATATCGTTTTGTTACCACGGAGGTTAATGTTTAAGGACATCATAAAGCTGCGTAAGGGTGATTTGACCACCGTCATGTAGCAGATATGGTTCACTCATTTGAATTATGTTTCTTAAACGTTGGTTTACAGTAAGAAACCGCGTAAAAGAATCTGTCAGTTAGGCTAAGATGTTCATTTCTACCTGCTTTTATACATATGGACAAAACATAAAAAAAAAACAGGTTTTTATCTAATGATAACGAGCTTTCACGGTTTGTATTACAAAGTAGTAACTTCTGGTGTGGATCGCGAAATTTCGACCGCATGCTGCCAGTCTTCTTCAAATGATGAGTGCCAGAATTGTAACCTACGAATTTCCATTATCTTTCTTTCAGCTCTGCGCTGTCGTAAAGCTTCCTTCCTGCAGGGTTCTTATCTTTTTCTCATTTGTGGTACATAGAGAATAATACCTGGGTGCGCGTAGATATGGAATTTCTCTTCGAGAGTTCAACTCGATAGCTGTCGAGTTGAACTAGAGAGAGAAATTTCATATCTACAAGCAACCATGTATTATCTTGTTTATTATATAAACACAATAGCCCTTTACTAACAACAAAAGTCGACTTTATCAATGAATAAAAACCGTGAAGTGCGTTGGCGCTGAGGCTCAATAGAAACTCTTTACGGTGGCTAATTTTCATTATCAACGTAGTTGATCAAACCAAATTATCTTGTAATATCTCCCAGCGACGCAGCACCACAGTTTTCTTTCAAACTTCCATTTTCAGGACTACTCTCACCTGGACGATCAGACTACACGACCAAATGTTTCACCTTGTCTCTAACCACTCTCTGTTAAAATTCTTGTATAAGCTGTGTAACTCAGTAATAAAATTGTTTTTGTAAAAAAAAAAATGTTTTCTATAAAGCACGGATAATAATTTTTATTTTGACGCTGCTTCGTGGTTGACGTAGCTGCCTTGCAGTTTGTTGGTCCCTCAACGTTAGCGCTTTTCATCAACTGATCATTATATTTTTGCACTGCCTAATGGTACGTGCTCTATTTAACAACTAACATTTTTATTTTTCATCATTTTACTCTTACTACATTTCCCACACACTCACTTCCTTTCCCCTAAATAAATTAATTGTGGAGATTTGGGAACCCTTTCATTAGGGAACCCTTTCATTTCCTCGTAACCGCAACGGAAAGAAATAAACCGTAAGCTCTAAAATGTCAATAATTTTAACCGTTCGCCGTGAAAGCCAACACCCCAATGAGAGACTCAGTTGAGGGCCGTGAACTTTCTTAGAAGTACCACAAATAACTTTGTTCGTAAATATGTTCGCTCCCGCAAGATGTCGTTGATTGATCCGAAAAACAAAACAAAACAAAAGGGAAATCAATTTCCTGTGTGCATTCAGAACTCTTGACCTAAAGTGGCCGCTTCCTTCCCCTTAGGACAAAACTGGTATTGCGTGACAAGAGCTCACGTTTGTTATAGACTGCTTAAGTTCCGAATTCCTAAACCTGGCGATATGATTCAAAGTATATATTTTGCGTAGAAAATACTTCGCCTTGCTAATTAATGTAGATCTATTTGTGACGATTAATCTCCGTTGAATATTGAGTGACCCTTTAAGAAAATCTAGAATTAACAGGTACCCAAACAGACTGCCTTGGTACTTTGGTGCGTTTCATTTTGAAGGTAAGATGTTTTAGTCATGCACTTAATGTTTTCGAACCAAACGATTTTCAGCTGCGAAATTAACACACCGAACTGTTTAAATGAATAGCTGAACTTAAAGGAATACCTAACATCGAAAGCAATTTGGAACAGCTTGGAAGCGGAACGCAAAGGGTTTATATTTCCGGCTAAACGGCCTTTGGATCGTTTTGGAATCGCAGTGACTAAACGCCCGGCAGCCGGGCACAGTCTCAAAAAGACTAGATGCCCGGCAGCCGGGTACGGTCTCAAATAGACTAAAATGCCCGGCAGTCAGAAATTTTCACGCAATTTCCGCCGAAAGGTTTTTCAAACTTCTTAAGAATATTAAATGTTTAATTTGTTAAGGAATGTGAAGCGGTTCAGGAAATATTTGAGTGCCGTGCATTTAGTCTATTTGAGACCGTGCCCAGCTGCCGGGCATTTAGTCAGTGCCTTTTGGAATGGCTTAACCTTACTGTTTTTGTTGTGGTAGAAACTGCACGTGTCGAGTAAATACACTGGCGAGCTTTCGAGTTCCACTCAGCGGCTGCATGAGGTGATTTGAATGTAGTATATGTTAAAAAAAATTTGGTAGTCAAATTCAAACGATTTCTTTCGTCTTTCAATAATCTGGTGGCACATACAACAAAAATAAATGGCCCAGTCCATTTTACAGGGCGGTAGGAGTAAAGATATCTCTTCCAAGTTGGTGCCCTTAGTTTTGTAGCCATACTTTGATTAAACGTTTAAAAGTTTTGATTTTGGGCAGTCTTAAGTTTAAAGGCCATGATGGGTTCATGGTCAGGTGTGCAACAATATGTAGGCAAATTAAAGGCAAATTTACTTTGTGCTTAATTGCATTAATCCCGACAAGTCTCTCTTTTTTCTTTTGTGCATTGCAATACAATTGAAGTCTCCATATATTATTATATATGTGTTAATTCCCAGTAAACAACCTGCATTTTATTACGTATTTCACACACAGAGGGCAAAGTCCAGAGAGGCACCAACTAATCAAGGCGCCCTCTTTAAAATATCCTTTTCTCTTGCTCAGTGCATCTTCCCTCATACGAGATAGCGATACATCTTTGGTTGGGGTCTATTGGAGATACAACAGTTTCCTTCCGCTTTTCGCTGTAAACTTACGTGGAATAAACTTTTTAGGCGACTAACTGTAGAGTAGACGAATAATTTTGATTTTCTTTCTGTTAGAGGAACAGCAGTAAGCGTAGTCTCTTTCGCAACCGTTCTTTGTTCTCGTCACGCAATAGATCTCTCTCCAACGGGGAATTGAGGGCGTTGTGTGACGAGACCAAACAACGGCTGCGAAGGAGACTACAGTAAGCGTGGCTCCGATGTATCAAATTTTGCTCAGAAGTAGTTGGACAATAGACCACAAAATACCTGTGTGAGTTTAGATAAATTATGTTTTTCCTCTTTCTCTCGAAGTGAAGTAATGAGACATTTTTGTTCTTTTGCAAGTTATGAAAATATTAGAAACACAAATTGTCCCATTTCGACCTACCCGGCTAAAATATTAACTCTTGCATGCCACACCATGATGCCTATGTTTTCTTTTTCCCACAAGAATGTCTTTAGAGGGTGAGCTGTGATGAATTCAGTACATTTCCTTACTTCCCAAAGTAAAAGAAACACTGTCGATTTTTTTTCGCTAGAAAACCAGACGGAGCTACAAGCAATGAGAGCTCGTTTATCCAACTTACAGGAACAGCTCAGGGAGAAAGATGACAAGTTGCGAGAGAAAGAAGGGATAAATCTAAGCCTCCAAGCTCGCTTGAATACAAAAAACCAACAACTGGAGGAGAAAATTAGACAGGAGGAGAATTTATACCAAAAACTGGGAGCAGTGGAAGAGCAGATTTCACAATCTCAAGCACAACTCAGGGAGAAAGAGTTGGAAAAGGCCAAATTGTTAAAGGAAAGAGATCGCCTAAATGGAAACCTGCGTGCGATGCATCAGCAGCTGACAAACTCGCGATTTTCAGAGTTGCTGAAGACCAAAATGCAAGAGCAACTCGAGAGAAAAGAGCAACAATTAGTTGAATCGGAGTTGCGATTAAGGGAACTGAATCAGCAGCTGAGAGATCTTCAAGTTCAGATCAGAGAGAAAGACAGAGCAATTGTTGCTTTGCGAGAACGATTTGGCGAGCTAGAAGAACAGCTGGCAACAAAAGAGCAAGAAAAGAATGAACTGGAGAGAAGCCTTTCAACAGCTCAGCAGATATTGCGTGATAATCAGCCTCAAAGATCACCAGACTGGGTTATTCCTCGTACTCAAATTCAGCTGACGACCAAATCCCTCGGAAAAGGTGCCTGGGGAGAGGTTGTCCAAGGAAGGTTCTGTGGTTGTGTCGTTGCTGTAAAGACGATACATAATTTGATTCTATCCGATTACAACCGCAGGTTGTTTGAACGAGAAATGGACATTGCCTCGAGATGTTTATTGCAATTCATCGGAGCAACAAACGACGACCGCACGCCTTTGTTGCTTACAGAGGTCATGGAAACAAGCTTGCGAGCAGTGTTAGAGGAACGATCTCTTTCTCAGACAGAAATCTCCGTTATTGCTCTGGATGTGGCTCGAGGACTAAACTACCTCCACCAAAAACACCCCATCCCTATTCTGCACCGTGACATCAGCAGTGCAAATGTGTTGCTCTGGAGACAAGGTACTCAATGGCGAGCTAAAGTGTCAGATTATGGCACTGCTAATTTCAAGAAACAGACCATGACAGTTGCACCTAGGGCTCCAATCTACAGTGCACCTGAAGCACACGCTACAAATCAAACAGTCCAGGTTAGCTCAGATTGACGATCTAACCGCACTTTTTTGTCTCGATTAGATTATTCGTGCTTTTATTTCCACTTTACCTTTACACATCGTAACATTTTGATGGAGAATAATATTAAAGCCTCCTTTCTCTGGAATTGGACATTTTCTTCACGGGTAGTTCTCTTCTTTACGATGGCCGCCTTATTTACCTCAGTTTTGGAACTAAACCTTTCCAAACTTGAACCACCGGTCGAAAAAATTGCTCCCTCCCTACAGAAATGGTGTTCTTATATGTAAATGACAGTTTGCAAAAGTAAGAATCAGAGGTGTCTCACTAATTCATAGTTTGCTCGACAATGGGCAATTGACCTTGCTGTGAAAAGTACTAAACATTGACGATTATTGGTCTGATCCTTTTTAACCTCATTAGAGGCTCAAAGACACTTGAGTGAGAGAGGAAACAATATTTGAATGTTGTCTCCTCCCTCACTTTAAAGTGCAAGAGGAGATTTCTTAGGAAAAGCCTAAAATCGAATCATTTCTGTAACTGCATTCGCCGTTAAAAGCGTTGGTTTCATGAGATTCTCATACAGCAAGAGTTACTTTATTCATATTCCGCCTATTCTGGGAATTTGCCCACAATAGCCTTAAAAGCATGCACGGTGTTGCATCTCTCTATGCTGTCATTTATTTATTCTTTTTCTGTGGTCAGGTTGATGTTTACAGTTTCGGTGTACTTCTTTGCGAGATGTCCATCCGTGAATTACCATATCCTGAAAGACGTGAACAACAAGTAACAATGGTGACAAACAGCGTGCTTCGAGCTCTTATCCGAGGATGTTTGGAAACAGACCCTCAGGCTAGACCAACGATGGAAGAAATAGTTGATGAAATAGAACCGGAAGCGCAAGACACCGTTTGATAGAGTTTTCTGAATCAGCTTCAAACATAATGTTGTCTGTATGGTTTGGAGTATTGCTACTGTACCGTATGATCACATAGAAGATCTTGCAAAGAAAACTCCATCTTTCCCATTGTAACTTAAGTGTGCGGATGTATCTTCCGAAAACCTTGTAGACTTTTTCTCTTAAGGCGTGTTCAGTTTTCCATTATTCCTTACCTAGGTATTTACACGCTAATCTCGTAAGGATTTAGATGAAAGCGTCAGTTTGGTGTGTATTAAGTGGAAGCTTAAAAGAAAGAAGGCACAGCCCAATACCACCAAAAGGGAGTCATCAAGAGTCCATTTTCAGGCACCTGCTTTAATCGATAAAAGCAGGCATGGCATGGATTGGCACGAGTCAGTAGAACTTAGCATTTCAGAGCTTTCCCCTCTGCTCACAACTCTTAACTTGCCTATATCTTCTTTTGTTCAGTTCTATGAGCACTTTTGATGTATATTTTGATCCTCATCTGTGAAAGATTGTCCATGTTTTTTTCAAAAGGTGATATTGCATGGCGAAAGCAATAAGTTTAGTTCTTTGCCTTTAGATCTTTATAAAATAACCTAGATTCTCTGCGATCGCAATAAAGAAATTAATTTTCATCTTCATTTCAGACTTACTAATTTATCATTGGCGCTTTCCTTTATTAATAGAACGGTATATGCAATGGGTGACGCACAGGAACTTTTAGTAAGTACCTTGAAAAATCCAGCAGTGCTCTAGCTCGGCAACCGCTGCTTTGATTTCTTAACGCACGAGACGTCATAGTCCCAAGAGTAGTTGACCTTGTTCTTGTGGGGAAGCAAAACTTGGTAAGATAGCAGCTCTGCAAGTTAACCTTGAGATCGCCTCAGACTTAAAACCAAAGACCTCAGAAAAAGCTAGTAGGCTTGTACTAAAGTGATCTCACATGATGACCACCTGCTAAGAAGCGAATAAATTCTAGTTTGTAATGATAAGTCTGACACGACACAAAGTATGTACAACTCATCTAAAACATTTTTTCACAATTAAGTTAAAGCGTTAAAAAGAATCAGTTCATTTCCGAAACTTAAACTTAAAATTTAAATTACTGTGCATGTTAACTAAGTGCCCAAACAGAGTTTAATGCTTCCTTCCTCTGAGTTTCGCGTCCTTCATGTCGCGAAACCACTAACGAATTCTATGCTTTTTCCAGTGCTCGTAGTGCTCGTAAGTTTGATTTTCCTCGGTATAAGGGGTAACCGTTTTTGGAACATCGATAATTGTAGACTTATTTTACCATAACTAGCAATGATTACGCGATCTGATTGGCCAATTTGCCGTTTTGGATAAAAGTAAAGACAACCGTACTCGCTTCAACTTGTCACGCAATGATCACGCACTGATAGGGGGTCACAGGTACCCCAGGACCTCCTCTCCCACCTCTAGAAACGCCCTTACGCACGGTCCCTGGAAAGTGGAAAGTAACTCGCTTTTAGCGTCTCCAAGTTTAAAGATAACCGCCCTCGAAGGAGGTCGAGTGGAAGAGTTTTGTTTGACCACATGGTGATGAAAATTTCATTAATAGCAGCTAATTACGTTTTCTCCTGCATTCTTGTCCTACATAGTGCTTAATCGTATCGATCGACAGTATTCATTCTCATTTGCTTTCTGTTTCTCTTTGAACGACTGATTAGTTCTTGATCAGTTCTTGGCAAACTTTGAAATATTAGCTTAATTGCTGTTGTTCCACAATACAATAAAAATTGAGTTTTTATCTTTTAATGTTGTGAAAGTATGGTGTGGGTACAGGTCCTTACATTCTTCTCGTATTTCTCCACCTAAAAAAACAGCGGCATGACAATTTTAACAAGAAAAGCTTTTTCGTTTAAAGATTACTTACAGAAAAATTTCGCGCGAGAAGAAAAGCTCTTAAGGTGATTCCTCAGTTTTGCACTGCACGTCCCGTATTGCGCATTAAAATCACGTAATCGGTGGAGTGAGCGCGCGCGCATTTCGAGAACAAGGTATTGCTTTTTTTCAGTCCATGGACCAGGTAAAGAGGTACAATGGTCTTTCGCCCATGAACGAGCACGGTGACCTATATTTTTTAATTGCTTAATTTTGGTGAACAACTTATCCCCATTAAATTGGGTAGATTAAAAAAGATTCTTCGAAGGTAAAAAAAATAAAGCTAAAATGCGTGCACAAAGCCCGTTACTCGAGGATGCAAAGTAACGGCTCGAGGAATGTTTTGAGTCGATGTCCTGTAAAGTTGCGTGATTTTCCCACAAATCATGTATCAAATTGTTCCACGCGCTCGAGACTTGACACCTATCAAATTTTTTGAAAGTGTTACTTTAAAAACCTTTGCTTCCAGCTGCAGTTAAATGTACCGTGAACCTTTGAAACTACGTGTGTAATTAGTGCCAGTACAGGCATAAAAGGGGTAAGTTTGGCCCATTATATCTCCTAAACAAGCACGGTGACATATCTTTTTATTGTATTTTCCGAAACAGGCATTGGTAGGGAACATTTAAAGAAAGTTTAAAAAAAGTGTTCGACAACCTTTTTTTTTTGAGCAATCAACTTAACTCTGAAACCCTCAAATAAAATTTCCTAAATTGCATAAAATTTTTCGATGCGAGCATTTTTTGTCCGCTAACTTGAACAAGAGCGGCCCGTAAACGAGCCCATAGAGCAGTGCGATGATCCCAGAGTGCAATACGCTTGTATCTGCCAGGCGGACACTTCTGGATGTTTACAAGCTGTATGCGTTCGAAGGAATTTCATCTGCACCCTTTCTAATTGGAGATATTTAAAGTTTTGAACCTGAATGGCTGAACAACTGCATTTTTTCTACGCAACTTAGAAAACTATCCAAGAGTTAATACAGAGTGGCAATTCACTGTGCGCCTTATTTTGTTTGCTTTGGAAGACCTTCATTAGGCAAAGCAACAGGTAAGTCGATCTCCACTCCTTGCAAGTACTATTGGAATTGAGGGCTGATCACGCTAATTGTCATTGCTTGAAGAACATCAATGGACTATCTGATTTAGTTGTAACTCGACATTTTATTGTGACAAAGAGTATTTGAATAGAGTAAATTACAATACAACTGACACTTTCTTATTCGAATTCATTTTAATTCTCTCTGTTAGCTTTAAGAATAATAAAGTTTTACACAGTGGACAATTTAGATAAATAACCTTATAGTCATCGCCATGCCAATGGATTTGATAGGTTTCTGGTAGTACTGAATTCGGGCAATGGGTGATCTGTTGCTGGGTTTAAATGTTGCAATGATGCACGTGGAAACAAGACTAACATGATTCCAAAGTTTTGTAACACTTTGATATCATTCTTTGATCTTTGCACTTCTAGCATTAACTAAAAATCCTTGCATGGAAGCCAACATGTTTTCCTCGAACATTGAAGAAAGCAGACTGGATATGTTTTCTGACATATCTTATTCGATAGAAAGCTTAATAAAGAAAATCACTGTCCACTATGAAAGTGTTGTAAAGATCAGGAAGTTAACTACCGGTAACATTAGTACCAATACGACATAGGCATAAGTAAAGTTATGGTTCTAAGCTATTATATGAGTGGTCAATTTTATAAACCCCCTTGAATAGATGTTCTCCAACAAATAGAATCAGAAGTACATTGTTAGGGTGATATGACCCAGCAATTCTGATGTAATAGGACAGCTGTCCAATTCTTTTGTCACCTTTTTGCTGACTGATTCTCAGTTGAAAGTTGAAAATTTGGTCTGTTTTGTTCCCAGCTTTAAAAGCATTAAATTTTCTCCTTTGTGCAATCCATTTATGTTGCCTTTAAAAACTGGATTTCCTCTTTTTCAGCCATTACAAAGATTATGGAAATGGGATCACCTCTTTTTCACAAGCTGCTCATCCAAAGAGTCTTAACATTCAAATGCCAGGTTTGATACTTATGATTCTAATTATTGGAATAGTTATCATAATTTATCTTCTTATTATAATTGTTACTGTTAATAATATTAATTATCTCTCCTCATGAATCAACTAACTGCTCTGTAACATGGTTTTTAAGCATTTGGTTTATTAGGCTTTAGATATTGCTATTGTAACTAAACTGTGGTTGACTTACGATAAATTAAAGTACTTTGTGCAGGTACAATCACAAGATTCCAATAGGAGTGTGGTATAAATATGCACATGAAATTTTTCAAAGACCAAAAAATTTCACAAGCCCATAGGGAAAGTGCAATTTTTTGTTTAAAATTTACCAGTGCTTGTAAATTTATTCCAAATAGCACAGGAAAACTCATGCAATTACTTATTAATAATATACGTAGCTAATTACTGAGTCACCCTATAAAAGTAGCACAGAGGTAATTAGCTCTCAAATCATGTGCAAGGCTCAAAACAATTTCCAGCTGGTGCTAGTCAAGTTGTTCAGTCAAACCTATTATTACTTGGATGCCAATTTTTGGCCAGATAAATGTCCATTATTTCAATAATATTATCTCAATAATTCTTCGTCCCTTCCCCCCCCCCCCCAGTATATTTTTCTGGCATTTTCCCTCCTCCATTACTACTGCGCCACTTTACTAACATTCTGGTCTGGTAATATCTGCCTATCTGCCTATCTGCCTTTCCCTATATCTAGGCAGTTCAGAAAGCCATAAAACTTGAGAACAAAATTTTCTCTCAAATTGGCACTCTTAATCCCCACAGCATCAACAAATGCTTTTTATTCAACTAATCTGTTCTTGTTTTTCTCATTACCATGTTCCCACCAATCACATAGCTCCAATTTCTGCATATAAACACACACTCAACCCACAGTTATGGGGTGCCAAACCAGTAAATATTCCCTTTGTATTTCTGTGACCTAGTTTACTTTTTATATCATCAATTTGACTTTTTATATGCTCAACTTTTTACTTTTTATATGGTCAACTCAAGTTTTTAAGTGGTCAACTTTTTACTTTCAATAAGATCAATTTTTACTTTTTTATATGGTAAAC